TAATTACGGGATAAATAATTTGACTCTGAAAAAGTCATTTTCCCCTTCCAATTTTTATACAACTTGTGAAGTTAATTTGTTTTTTAAAGATCGTTGTTTTTTTCTTCGTCATGGGTGTTTTCTTGTATCTGAGCATCATTGTCCTATAAGATTAAATATAACAGAAGACAAAATGATTTTTAAACAGATGATTTGATTGGTTGATTTTGAATATCTATTTTTAAACCTTGATTTAGAAAAAAACGATAGGCATTTGAATCCAAAGGTTAGTATGCCTTAAAGAATAGGGATGAAGCATGGAGGTCATGTGAAATTATGCAAATATAGACAAGTTCATAACATTAGGACAGAGTTCTGCATTGATGTATAAATAATTATGTTGGATATCTGAATGGGAAAAAAATGAATATTTGTACTGAGCTTGCAAGGTTATATTCTTTTTGTCATGATGAATTATAGGCCTGTTGTGATATATTGGTTGACAGATTTTATAAAATTTATAATTGAATAATCATGTATTGCAATTTTTTTAGTTCTTCAGCACTGTATGCAAATATAAAATCATAAAATTCTGACAGATAAAAACAAAAAAGCTGTTTACTTATCTGATTTATATGATTTATAATGAACATTTTGATTGATTATCTTGAATGTGTCAAATTAGCTCAACAAATAATTCCATCATCTTTTGTTCAAATTTTAAAGATTTTTTTTTATATATTTTTACATGAATATTGAATTATGTTTAAAAATGATTGTGTACTTTTTCACTGTCTTGACTTTTATTCATAATCAAGTTTTTTTGTTTTGATGAATTGATGATACAAGTTTAATGGTAGAAATTTATTTCATGTTACAATATAAAAAATTCTTAACCCTTACCCTCTTGAACTTATGGTTTTGCCTTGCTATGAGTTTGAAAACGGTGGATTTTCAGTTTTTAAATGGATTTTTTTAAAACAAACTTAAGAACTAAATTAAAGCTACTACAAACAGTTTGGGCAAGTGGATGGACTGCATGGAAGTGCTGGCTGGTCAGGCACTATGGTACAGGTGGTTTAAATTAAAGGCTACCTGCAGCTTATTATAGAGTTGATAATAAAATGAATAAGTAAAAAAAAATTAAGAACTGTTTTCTTGTGCAAAGACCTTTTTAGTTATTTTATTAAGTGATACTTATACAAATCAGAAGTTACAATATAAGAACAATGACTAATTTGTTAGTTGTGTTCGACTGCTTGAAAAACAATTGGTAGCTGTGGAAACCAGCATACCATAACATCCTATTGCTCATTTCACAAAACTGCTTCCTGAAAAAATTTTAATGCCTATCATTGGGTACTTTAATGGCAGATCCATCGCAAGTTGCACTATTTTGACATGTTTGTCAACCTTTCACATTAGTTTCTCTTTCCTGTCTCTTTCTAATGCTCATTATATGAATCATCATTTGATGAAATATCATTTAAACAAATTCGCTTTCCATTGATTCAAGTATCGACAATGATTGTCGATAATTTTTCACTCTAATACTTGTTGAAAAATGAATATATATCACTTCTGGGTACAAATTACTGAGAAAAGATATGACAAAAAGGATAAAGTAGAAGACGAATCTCATCAGGAGAAATTTCTCATCATGTCATAGTTTTTCATTCCATGAAGAATCTGCATGACATGTTAAAACATCCATGTTTCAACAGGGTTCATTAATTTGTTGATAGTTTAAACGTCAAAGTTTAAAAATTTCCTCAATTAGCATCTCTTTTTGAAAGATTTTATATTCTTTAAAAAAAATTCAAAATTCTTCAAATACATTATGATTGACAGTAATGCAATTGATCCTAAAATTGTTAAACAGGAATTAAGAATTCAGTACTAAACTGCTGTAGACATTCTTTTACAAAATAGTAAAATAAATTAGGAATAAGTTACGCTTATAATTACCCATTAATGATCTCTAAAAGGTTCTATACTCCGTTAAATTAGTGTAAAAAAGGTTTAGTCTAAGCCAGTAATGGAAGGAAGGCAACAAATGTGCCTATAAATTGAATTACTAATCACAGTGTCAGAACGACATTGGAAATTGCCTGCGTCTGCTGCACGTTTTTTTCAAGGTCGTATTGTTTTTGTGCGCTGCAGACGCAGTAGATGATTGCACTTTATACTTTATTGATAGAGATGACATTATAAAGTATGAACATCCGCTTTTGATGTGTATCATTTAATCATGGAAAATGAATGTCTTATCAAATAATTGTTGCAAACGGAAAGACGGGAAAGACCGGCTTTTGTTGCAATGGAATTTTGATTCCACCGATCAATGCATATTACTGTGTGCTGTTGTCGGAAGTCTCAGCTGAATTGAAACTTTGATCTGTCAGAAAACTTGTATGCATATGATATTAGAGAGAGATTAAAGTTGTTGCTGTTAAAGGTTCATACCCATTTATTCTCTCATTCATTTCATAGTACATTGTTATATATTGTATGTTTTATGCTCAATTATATAGTAAATATTATTATTGTCAGTTAATGTTTGAGGAACAGACAGAAAAAATCTGAAATTTTGGAGGAACAGACAGTCAAGATATTATAACCATCAGGTCAGAAGTTAGGGTGACATTCCTCCAGTATTTTCATCATAAAGCAGATTGATTTGCGGAATTACCGATTGTTAGATCGGAACCTATAGCTATATATGTTTATGTATCGAGAAGGGCAATGTAAATCCTGTTCAGTTTAACCCTTTACCTTCTGAAGGCAACATATTTTACGCCTGTGACCTGAGTACAGATTAAGATCTGCCGGCACATTTTAGATTATGGTCTACACTGTTAGGCATTCAGTCAGTACATACACATGGAGTTATTTTGAAATTTCCTTTAAAAACGATTCACAGTTTAGTTCAAATTAAAAGAATGTGGATTCCATTTAAAATATTAAGCTAGATGAGAGTTAAAACTTTTGATACCATGCTAAAATTCCAATTCCATCATCATTACTTTTTGTTGTTTTGTAACATAAATCTTCCATTGTAAAGTTTTAGACAATTCTATTAAAGCGTTAGTTTCGCTGGCTCGTAATATTAAATCTCCTGTAAAGAGTAACATTACAAAAAAAGCCTGACATATAAGATTGAATACACTATACTAGTAAAAAAGTTATAAATTATGAGGAGCGGAATTGTCCAAAAAACATGATTAACGCTGCTATATATTTAGGCAAACTTCATCATTAATTTTATTGTAGCGACATATTTACCGAATAAATCTTCATTTGATGTAGCTAGGAAGCCTGTTAATTTCGCTAGATGGATCAACTCTATATCCCTGTGTGTAATAACATGATCTAATACAAAACTCATAAACTTTTATAGCATATGGTACTAATATTGTAATGCTATAAATAAAATTAGAAACCATGAAAAAAAAATTGGGGGGAAAGAAAAAGCACATGCAGGAATTTGTTCGTTTTTTAAAGGGAAAGAAATAAATTAATTATGGTATCTGTTTTTGATGTTGGAAAGATGCTATTAATGTTTTTGATTGCTTAAAATAATGGTAGACTGACTGAAGTACATTGAAAAGTATGTTTTTCACTATACCTGGTGCCATTTTGATACAGTGAGCTGAACGCTTAGACTGTATTGAAGAGGGTATAATAATAAATACGTTACATAAGACCAGTCTTACACTACAGATAATGAGTGACGCCAACTTGTACATTGCAATACAGTCCCATCAGGCTCTATACGTTTTTTATTCTTTTGTGTTTTAACTGCTTTGTACACCAAATTTTAAAATATTATTTGGCACATTGCAGTGGTCATCACACATAACTGGCTTGCCTTGATATTACCACTTTCTCCATATGTGACACCTCTACTTATTCCACAATGATTTCTGAAATAGACGCGAGAGACAAAATTAGACTTACTGATAATAAGAAATTGTAATAAATTTAACACACAGCATTGCTATGTCATACCTTAATGTGAAAATAAAATCTGTCATTTCTGGTAGATATTACACACTTTACTTTCTCCTGCTTCTTTTATAACAATTAAGAGGAGATCTCAAGCATAGTTCGAAATCTGAATTTAAGATAAAAAGCAAATAATTTGGACAAAGAAAACAAGTAGTAGACACTGTTTGGATTATTGTATCAACAACAGATAGCATTCTCAGATGTTACAGTTACTGATGTAGATTATTGAACTCCTCCTATAAATAAATGTGCTCTTTTGTGATTTAAAATGACATGTTCTTTCTCCTTGTAAAATGTAAAACTTAGAAATTCAGAACGACTCCCCCTGGATACTTCCATCTATTTAAATGGAAGAACTGTCTCATAAAATTTGTGTAATCCTTTAGTGTGATGTCAAAATGCAGCAAAATTAAAACAAGATGTTAACATTCAGAGGTTTTCTCTTATTACTTTTTCCCCTGCAAAATCGTTTTTTCCAGATTTTCTGCTTTTTTTCTCTCTTTTTTTTTGTTATTTAGAAGCAGATCTGAAGAAGTATTTTATCAGTTTATAAGCAGAACTTGATTGACAGTACACATCTCTCATACTCCTAGGTTTACCAGACTGTAATACTTCCAGTACTTTGATACCTCTTGAGTGGTTTTTTTGCCCACCTGCAATGCTGGTAGAGGGTGTTGTTTTTTTTTTCAAACAAAGTTATTTTTCTTTTGCTTCAAGGGTAACATGACTGTTTTATTACAGAATTTACCATAGGAGATAGTTTCCACAGTTGGTGGGTTGATGTTTTTATGCTCTGGTCATTTCTGTGAGTGTGGAGAAGCATATAGACCCATCAATCATAATTCTAGTGTATAGGGGACAATAAAACTGTGCCTAGAATTTTATTGTACAAAAAGAATTTTTGTAGAGTGTGTGTGTAACATCTTATTACTGTAAGCCACTGTAAACCTTTCTTTGTTTGTGATTTTTTTCAACTTGTGTATAAAACAATAATTTTGTTATATTTTCAGGTACATATTGAAGTTATTGACATAAACGACAATGTCCCGCTGTTTGAAAACACACACTATGAGAGCAGTTTTCCGGAGAGCACACCAGTTGGCACGACCTTGCTCAAAGTTACAGCCACTGATGCTGACAATAACATGCTCATCTACTTGCTCCCAGATTGTTGTAACTCCGCCTCTACACGTGAACTGTTTGATGTGAATGCTGAAACTGGTAAGGAAAATTTTGACCTTTAACCTTAGAAGAACCAAAGTTGATTGGTGTTTGCCACCAGTATAGAGCCAGGCCAGCCTGTGCAGTCTGACTTAAGGCGCAATATACTGTTGGTAGCTGAATTTCAGTACTTTGATACTGAAATTCCTTAAATTTTGAATGCACTGTTTACAAATTTGAAGCTAAGGAATTCCATATTTATAAATACAATGACATATTCAAAAATATTTACAGGAAAAAACATCTAGTATTGTAAAATACAACAACATGTATACGTTTTACTGTCATTATTTCTATGTTATGCCAGTTTGAATATTTCAAAAGATATATTTTGAGGATCTTTATTGACAGAAACTTATCAACAACTTGTCAGTATCAGCTTATAGAGCTGATTTTACAGAAGATTTCAAGACTCCCTTATGTATAGTTGTCTGGTACATTTCAGACGTACAAAGTATTACTTATTTCCATTTACTTTTAGGCTGTTTAGTTAGTTATTATATAAAAGTGCTGAATCCATGCACTCACGCTGTCTGCAACTTTAAAAGTTTAGATATCTTCTGTTTAATTTTGGTATCGGAGTTGAGAAGTTTCAGATTTTAATTCGGAAAAAATTTTGAAAAAAATTCCGCTGCTTAAGATTTGTAGGCAGGTTTTTCATTTCAGGTGTTTTGATTAATGCTTGATAAATACTTTTATTTAGTTATATTAAGGTGGTTTAGTTTAAAGGGCAGAGGAATTTTAATGACAGGGTCATGGGTGCAAGTCGTAACCTTTCTCAGTACACAGGAAGCAGCCGTCAGTTCCTTATGCCATGGGGAAAAAATGTGCTAAAAGTTATGTTGAAATTTGCTCTTATTGACACAATATTTGATAAATGTCTCCAATTTATCAAAACAGATTTGTTTATATTCAAGTGCATGTCTATTAGTTGCACTTAGTTTAGGATGGTGAAGTCAAGACGTGATTTTTTATACAAATTGAAATGCCGTCTGCTGCAAACGTGAGACCAAAAATGCATTCCTTTCAACTAAAAATGCAAATTTGTGAAATTATACATAATTATTATTTATCATTCACTGAACATTAATTCAGCGTATGTTGAGCTTTTTTGTCATTAAATTGTATCAAAAGACACAACAGTAATCAGATGCACCCATTTTTACGCATATTTGATTGGGGTCAATGAAATAGGACTTTAACTCTGGTGTATAGGATGTTGAAGTGAAACTATGCAGAATTAATTGCTTCTTATGTAAACTGAGCTGTTTTTGCAAGATAAAACGGTTCATGGTATTAATAGGTATTAAATACCAAAAAAATAATAATGCTAATGAATTGTAGATAGCAAAACCTTTGTTACTTTTGCGCAGTTATTTCTCTCTTCTTTTTTTTTCTTTGCAATTTTCATTAAAGGAATGTTTTATTTGATGTCCAAACTTATGAAATTTTAACAGCATTGAAGCTGCAGATCTTAAAAACAGATTTTTAAAGATTTCAAGTAATGAGCAATAGAAGAGCATTAGAAAGCACTTTTCACTAAAAGAATGTAAAGGATCTAAAATAAGCTCACATTACAAAGTGAAAACCCATTTAAGATTCTCACTAAATCTCAAGGAGATTATATACATTGTGGAAGATCAGAAGTTTAATTTATAAATTTTTTATGTTAAAATTTGCGCTCTGAATTGCTTTCAACCTGTTTCTATGTACTTTTTTTGTGCAGATTTTCAAAAGGGTAAACACTGAAAGTAAACATTACGAACATCTGGATGATTTTGGTGTTTATACAATAATGATTTTCATATGTGATTTTTTTTTTCCAAAGTTTAACTGAAGAATTCAATTGTTTCTTTCAGGTGAGGTTGTTGTTAAAAGTGCACTGGACCATGAGGTTGCCATGCAACATAACTTGACGATTATGGTTAGCGACCAGGGTATGAGCCCAAACCGGAACTTCACCAGAGTCACTCTCAACATCTTGGATCATAATGATCACCAACCTGTGTTCTTGTCGGACACATTCCACGGACGTGTGTTTGAGACAGCAGCTATCGGGACGTCGGTCGTTCAAGTAATGGCGGTTGACCAAGACAAGGGACATAATGCAGAACTGACTTACACTATCTTATCAGGTTTGTTGCGAAATTTGGAATTTTCCATACCTTCGATGAAATATGATCTTGATTTCTTTCAGTCACCACTGACTCAACAATTTTATAAGAACATGATCCTTTTAACAACGATTTGCCGTTATTTTCAATTGGTCGGAGGCAATTTTTTTTTTGCCATATCCTGTCGTAAACTATTTATTCATGACTTAAAGATGACGTGACATATAAACCTATCTTGAACAGAAAAAACACTAAGTATGGTCTAGACTACATTAAGATAATCAGTTTTATAAAGATTTATAAGGTCTGAGGGGTGTCTTTTATTTATAAATCCTGCCATGTTTCATCACAGTAATCAATCATGGTCAATTCCTCGAAGAATTGAAGTAATTAAATTTTTTTACACGCAATCCTTGGCATACAGCAGGGGATAGTTGCCATAATAGATATACAATATTTGAATTACAGTATATACGTATATATATGAACTTTGTTTGATAAAAGGTTGTTTTAAATAGTACAACATTTGAGTAATTTGGTGTATCAGTAGCAGAAAATCAAATCTTTTGTGTATACAGTTTTATTGCCTAGCTGTAAATAAATGTTTTCCTTACATGGCAGCAATTTTAAATTAATAAATATCACTTAAGTGCAATAAAATTTTGAAGAAAGAGAAAATTATGATAAAAAAACATGCAGGATATATTGATATTTAAATACAGTATAAAAAGTTAAAAGAGTGTTTAACTTCCCATGATGAGTTTTTTTTACACTCAGTGTTAATGCAAGGTCATAAAAAACGTTTGCGACTTTGTAATGACTGCTGGTGCGAACAATTTAACGGCCCATTTCAGACAAAATGTGCATATTTAGACTAACAAAAACACCCAAAATGAACTATTATTTGATTTCAAAAGACCAATTTATGTCATTTAAACGTATGTCTCGTTTTTCGATATTTACAAAATCTTGATTGTTTTCTTAATAGCTGAAATTTATATGCGACAAAGAGGTGCGTTGAATAGTTTTTTAAAACCGAACAACGAAATTACTGTTCACTAATACATCATAGATTTTATCGGGAGATCGTTATCGTAGATTTTGCACTGCGAAATGTTGTTTTGGCTCTCGTAAAATAAAAATGCTTCAAAAATTTGCGTTTAATTTCATTTGTTTCATTGGTTGGTATTCATTTCTACAGTTATCTGCGCTAAATTTATAATTTGATACAGCATGATTATAATGATAAAGCGAGAATTTGTATGCAATAAAATATTTTTTGCAGTACATTGATATCAAATTTGTATTGTAAACTTAAATTTTGGGTCTTGTGCTACTTATGTTTTTTTCTTAAAGAACTCAAATTACCTCCAGAATGATAATGAAGAGTTTTGTGGTTTCTTAGTTCATTTGTATTGTATTTTTACTTTGTTTGACATGGGCGGTCAAAGTTTTAAATGTTTAAGAAGCAATTACAGGGAAAAAAGGGAAAAAAAGTGATTCCTTTTTTCATGATCAGCATTTCAAATGCTTTTTCATTATTTATTTAAATCTGAAATACTTGAGTTTTTTGGAAATAAATCATGCTGAAAAAAAAATATAAGACCTAAAACTGTAAATTATAGCTCAAAGCCATTGGCATATATATAGAATATAGACTCCAAAATAAGCATAATACAATCTGTTGGCCATGGGGTATAAAAAAGTCATAATAGTGTTTTGATACCAAAAAGCTGTCGTTAAACAAGATAATGTGCTATGCAAGGGACACATTATATATTATAATACAGGAATGATAAGATTTATTGCCCTATTAATTCCGTGAGACTCTGATGTTCAAGGGAGATAACTCCCAATATATGAGTGACATTTTTTTTTAAAGGTTTTAAATGTAAACATTGACCAAGTTTGATAAGATTTAGGAGGATCTTTTTGTGTTTAACATTTTAAGCATATTAATTTAATAAACATTACGTTAATGTAAAAGTGTATTGTTTTAAGCATTTGTTTGTTTGTCTATTTACTTGACAGGTGAAGAAGTACAGTTTTAATGAGCCAAAACTTGAACAAAACATTTTTATGAATGAAAACTTTGAGATTATTGATTTGATGTATTCACGATGGGCCAATAAGATGTAACGATAAATGTAATCTTACCTGTCATCGCACCCGATGGACTTTATTGCCGAATAAGCAATGTTTACATTATATATGCATGTATAAAGAAATTATAACAATAATGCAGTATATCTTTCTGTACAAAAACCACAGATTAATGAAATATTATACAAATATGGACTTTTTAGCTGTGACTATGATGCGATATGTACTGAAAAAAGGAGGGGTAGGAAGGGAAGAGGTCTTCCTCCTCCATTAAAGCTGCATGGAAACACTGCGACGTAAAAAAAACAAAGTTACAACAACATCTACAAAAATTGTCTGGTCATTATCACTGATAACATTAAAAGATTTAGAAATAAAGTTTAGATGCATTTAAGCTAAGAAAATGGTAAAAGAAGTATAGGCTTATGTAATAGAAAATTGCTTAAATTTATTTATACTTCTACCAGGATATATCAGTTACTGTTTTATCTACTGTAGGTATCAGTTAATAACAATGAATTGTTTGTTGTGGCGCTACTGAAACATTTTTATGCGCAAAAAAATCCTGCTGATCAGAAACAAAGTAACCTTTAAACAGTTTATTTGTTTTCATTGGAACGAGGTTAATTAATTAGAGAACACTGGTTATCAATTGAGTGTTTTTGCGATAAGAGTTTTGTGGCAGTATTTCGTGGACATGCATAATTTATTATTGAAATGTATGCAGCGTGTAATCTTAATGAAGCAGTTGTATAAACCTAAGGCCAAAATTTGTTAAATTGCCGAAAGATAATGTCCTGGAGGTATTTTTTTGTTATCAAGGTCTCGTGATTTTAATTTTGATGTCTAGGAGTAGAAGATTGATTTAAGAGAGAATGGTTTGGTATTATTTGTTCTTGAACATAGCATATTTGTTCTTGAACATAGCAAGGAATGTCAGTCTATATATTTTGAAATTTTAGTGAGTATTTCTTGTAAAAAGAAAATATTGAATTCGAAAAACTATTGAATTTTTAAACACTGGATTGAGATCCTGTTGAATATATCAGTTATTATATAAAAGTTAAGGTATAGGAATTTCTCACATGTTTTGAAATTATTGAATATAATCAAAATGTTTAATAAATGGGGTTGAAAAAGAGTATAGTTTGTGATGTGCAAAATAAGCGAATCAATTTGATAACCCAAAAAAAATATTTTGAATTGGAATGATTAATGTTTAAGATTGGAAAGATTTTTTTCTTATCAAGGTCGTGCTATTGATATCATGATTATCGGGTTTTATATTTTGTTGACATTTTTACTATTTCAATCCAATTTAAATATTATTTCAGGATTTGAACGTTACCCTATTTAAAGTGCTATGCTGTCACTAGACTTATGGGCCAAAGTTCTTTACCACCTAGTAGTTGACATCTTTAATTGATAAGCACTGCCTACCCTCCATATTGTGTAAAATCAAATATGGAAAACAATACGGGGGCTATGACGTATCCTTGGCTCCCTCCCCAACCGATCTTTTGTTACTCTGGGTGAATGATTGATGGTCCATTGTTGAAGTCTGACTGCTGGGATATTAGGAGAACAATCGGGGGTGGATACCCTGATTTTAGATATGGCCTTCGAGACATCTGTGTCATTTTAAAAAAAGAAATGTTTAAGATCATAGCGATGAGATCATCTTAAGCTTGTACATGAGGACGATCTTTTTGTTCTCACCATATTCTGAATTTTCATCTTTTAAAGTTTGCAACATTATCTGAGTTACTCACAACTTAAAGGTTGCGTTGATATTATTTTTCAAGGAAGCAGCATATTATGTGACTGTATAAATTTCATGATACTTAAAGGTAAAGATATATAAAATCAGTTGAAAAACCTTATCTTTATTATTGTGATAGAAATCTATGATGAATGAATTTTTAAAGTTGTTGTCTTTTAAAAGCCAACTGTTTTAGAACAGGTTTTATCTTTACTACCTTCAGATTAAGATTTGAAAACTGAATAAGCACGGCAGCCAACGCTGTAGCTAATTTGATAATCGGTTAGATTTTAACCCTTGATAGCTTGCAATTATATGGTTACTTACCAAGGTAAAGTTGATAATTATCACTTTTCTGTTCTATTGAAGTAAGAATATACTCAAATTTTCCTTTACCTTTACTATGCTGGAACCAAAAATGATTAGCCCTTGCCACCAATGTAGTGATTCCTGGATACCCTAGGTTGTTTAACATGTAACATTCACATGCAACAAATATTAATGGGACAGCCATAAGAATCTGATGATACAGTATAGTGTCTGTGCATTCTAACCAGAATCATTTTCACTGACTGATCAACTTTGAAATTTTAAATATCCCAAAAGTTGAGAATGGATAAGTTACAATAATGGAATCTTAAAGTCAAATTTAGAAATTCAGCCTGTTAAAAATGAAAAAACTTTATCACTTCTGGATATTATATTATGTTTTCAGTCTGGGATTACCTAGATTCTATATTATTGCACAAAGAAATATATCATTAACATGAAAGGAAGACAACAGGTCTCGTGGTTGTAACATAATATCATAAAAACTGTATCACATTTACTCCCGTCTGTTTTCAAAGGCATCTTTTCCCTTATTTGCTCTATAGAATTTCTTAACATTGTTAGACAGAAAATTGTACTTGATATCAAAATGTATATATATGAAAAAAATTGTATCATATTTTGTGCAAAATTGCAAGTATATTAATCTTTCTTTTCTTGTTACATCATAATGAAAGCGGTAACACTTCATATTACGTAAATTATCTGTCTTCGATTTCACCGAACAAAGCATTATAATAGACGGAAAGCCTTATTTGCATAATTACGGTATTTAACTTTTTAGTTTAAACAATATTTTATTAATAATCCACACATTTACATAATAAATTACATAAAATAAAATTTACGGATTGAGTAGGAAGCTTGTAAAGCTTTTTTGAAAACTCTCTCCGTATTTAACTTTTTAACAATAGAGATTGTGAAAAACAGAATAAAATTTATCAAATGCTGCAGTCATCATGGTAATAAATGACAACCGTTACGCAACCCCAGTTTCTGACTTTTCTTGTTCTGCCATGTCATCGAACAATGGTGGCTGTATATGAAAATAATAATGGTAAAAATTGTGCCATTTTTCATTTCCCCTTTTTCGGGTGACATGATTTATTTACGAAGATGTATTGAATACAAGGATGATGTAAACATAAATTTTGATCATTGTGATGTTTATATTCCCTCGTTTTCTCTTTTATATGCCGATGTTAAATGAAGGCTCGAAATAGTGCTGCACTAAACTGCCGAACGTTTTAATATCATATGACAGCGATATATTCAAAATTTGGTGACTGTATACTTATTGAACTAACTAACGATGGCGTCTAACTGGTGTGACACTTTTCTAAAAAATTGTCAAAATTATTATATAATATTAAAATGTGAAAGTACTGTACGTACTTCAAAGAGTTGAGGCGGGAATAAGAAAATACTGTAAGGCCTGAATATATTTATACATGTATATTTAATATATCTATAATTAAGACTGCCATATAGTGATGGTAGAGTAAAAAAAACTTCTAATTTGTTTTTAAAATGTGGTTAAGTTAAGGCTAAATACAATTACGCAGGAAACATATGGGAATATATTACATGATATAAATTTGCTAAAAATTTTGAAAAGACCTTATAATTATGAAAATTCATTTTGAATAATATTATGTGTTAATACACTTTGGTCATGGTTGGTTTAGACTGATTTTCCCTGAATACAAAACAGACAAATTAGTTTTTTTTGGTAATTTCATTTACTCAATGCTATCAGATAAATAATTATCATCAATTATAAAGAGAAGCCTCACTTTGAAGTATTATCTATCTACTAATATACATCAAATAAACAACCCACTCTGTGTCGGGAGCCTTAATCTTTCAACAACGTAAAAAAATGTTGAAAAATAAAACGACAGGCCTCCTTTTGACATCATTTTAAGCTTTGATGATACGGTGATATATGTGAACATTAAATACATACTGTAATCATATATGACACAGTGTTTGATTTTAAAAAAAAAACGATGTAACTTCTTCTATTTTCAATGCAAGTTACATCAGTCTTTCATGCAATGCTTTTACTTTGATTACTTTGACAAGCCTAGCTGAAAATATTGAATGTTTCTTGTATTTCAACACAAACTTTGAAATACATGTGTATAGATAGTTAATCATGTCTCTTTGAAGTGTAATCCAAAATGTTACAAACCATATGTTCTTTCTTTAAACAGCTATTTATATATGCATGTATATTGTATATGTATTATTGTTCATGAAGTCATTGTGATTTTTAGTAAAAATGATGACGTTTCTGACACCAATAAATGACCAATGTTTCTAAAGATCCATGCCTTCTTAACCTCTTTAAGCTATGAGTTTGAGCCTTAATGATAAACCTAAAAATCTGTTTAGAAAATTTAATGTTTTTATGTTTTTCTCTATTTTCAGGAAATGTTGGCAGTGTTTTCTCCATTGACAGTATGCTTGGAACAGTGTCTGTTGCTAAGGAACTTGATAGAAATGATAAGCCTCACTATGAACTGGTTGTCATGGCAATGGACAAGGGAGATCATCCCATGTCTAACAAAGCCACGGTTATAATTGACGTTACAATTTCTGACAATGCTCCGCCAAAGTTTGACAGCCTAGAGTATATGGCCGAACTACAAGAGAATCAGCCCTGGTTTACGAATGTCTACACCATGACGGCAAACTGTCGATCTAGCGTCATCTACACAATTGTCGGCGGGAATGAAAAAGGCATCTTTGCCATTAACCCAAACTCTGGTGTTGTCTATACAAAGAAATCTGTGGATTATGAGACTGATATGGCTTTCAACCTTACAATCAAAGCAACCAGCATTATACATTCCTCAACCCAGACTAATTTACATATTCATATTATCGATGAAAATGACAATGCTCCGGAGTTTATCAAGGAGGAATATGTCGGAAATGTTACAGAATCAGCTAAAGCTGGCACAATTGTGCTTAATGCCACCAGCGAGCCTCTTGTCATTCTAGCTAAAGATAAAGACTCTGGTTTAAACGCTGTACTAATTTATGAGATCAGAGATGACTATGCTAAAAATTACATCACCATTGATCCGAATACTGGGGCAATAAGAACTGTGTCTGAATTCGATCATGAAGAAATGGACAAGATAGAGTTCTCTGTTGAAGTATGGGATATGGGTAAACCCCAATTGAGGACGAAATTTCCGGCAAAAGTCATCTTATATATAAATGACGTAAATGACACTCCTCCAAAATTCACTGAAGACAGTTACAATGCTGAAGTATTACTTCCCACGTATAAGGATGTTATTGTCGTTACTGCTGATGCCCATGATGATGATACAGGTGTTGACTCGAAACTGAAGTATTCATTAGTTCAAGGAAATGATGATCGTAGATTCAGAATAGATGAAGACACTGGCGCCATCTTTATTGTGAACGAATCCAACATGGCTGACAAGTACAAGCTGAAAGTTCAAGTGACAGACGGCATTTTCAAAACGGAAACGATAGTATTTGTAGCAGTGTCTCAACCAACCAGCAGTCCTTTTACATTCACTCATGAGGTTTATGAAGCGTGGGTTATAGAAAACCATGAGATATTTGATACTCTGACAGTAGTTCAGGTGGAAAACCGAGGTTTGAATCAGCAGTTCACATACAGTTTACTTAATGGTGGCGACAAATTCGAAATTGGCTTCACGTCTGGTGTTGTAACAACAACTGGTGTTGCATTTGACAGAGAGGAAGTCAGCATTTATAATCTTGTCGTTGAGGTTGGTACAAAAATTTTGACTGAAACGGAAATCTGTCTTTGTTTTTTCTTCACAAAAATTTGTATAAACAAATGTGTTTTTGATGTTTTTTTCCAAGATTGTTTTTTAAAAGAACAGATATTTCCTCATTAATTATGAATTAGGTTAAGTCTTAAGTATGTTTTTCTTTCGATTTTTGCTTCCAAAAATAAATGAATAATAGATGTATTCAAAATATTTAATTAGTTTTTTACGAAGAGGAAGAGGTGTCTTTTCAGATAATTCAATTTGTGCATGATGTATAGTCTTAATGCTGTGATATTATGAGATCTTTGTAGTGTTCGAATTTTTGTGCATATTCACTAATTAATATTCTCCATAGTCTGCCAGGATATTCCGCATAACCTAAGATCATGTTCGGATATAATATATAAGAAATCAGTTGGGATTCTTTATTTTTCGATATCTGATCAAAAGTGCATGTCAATTTATTTTTGTTTAAAGGTAAGAGGAGAAACACCTCAAGGACCACAGAGGGCACATGCCTTGGTCAAGGTCATGGTCGAAGATGAAAATGACAATGACCCAGTTTTTGTCCACCAGCCGTATCACTCGGTTCTCGTTCACGACTCGGTTCTTGGTCATGTTGTCAAACAGGTTTGTCTCATTTGATTATAATTATATGGGTGTTTTCTTAAATTTGAAAAATGAAAAAACGTTATGATTGAAGTGATGAAAGTCAAGGTCAAGTGTATTAAAGTGTCGTCTGCTGCACAATTTAAACATTTTTTTGGCAAATGAAAAATTCTATTACTTCAGCTAACTGACAAGCTGGCTGTTAAAATGAAATGTGAAATGCATTTTCTGTTGCCTTGGGAGGACTTTGGACACATTTTTCATTTAGTTTTTTGCAAGGAATGTGCAGCTTCATTTTTTGCAGGGAATATAATATGTTACCTTGAGGTTAGCATTATGTAAGGCGTGACATGAAAAACAACAGAATGAATTTAATCAAGTCAAGTGATATTATTCACTTAACTGTAAATTAAAACAAATTTTGCCATTGTCAAAGGGAAGTAACTTTTATATTATATTAATAGCATGGTTTAAGGGAGGAAATTGCTGATTTAATAACTGGGTATTTATTAATTGTCAAGAATGATATATTGAAATGGATGTGTGTTTTAAACTGATTGTTGATAATTATAGGTGACTGCAATTGATAGGGATGCAGGAAATTTTGGTCAGGTGACATACAGTGTGAAGGGTCGTGGTGACCTAGATGACAGGTTTGCCATTGACCCAAAGTCCGGGAAGATAAGTGTGTTCAGACCTTTGACCACTGCGGATGTTGGCAAAGAAATTGTGCTGTCTGCTGTAGCAGCAGATGGAGGTATTTGAACTATCAAACTAAAATGCAAGAGTCGATATTTAAAGACATAATTATTGTTAGGACTTTCTGATATCATTTAATAAATCAATATGTTCATATTATTTGGAAAAAAGTGATATAAAATTTATCTTTTAAAGTTCACTTTGAATATAAATCTTAAACTAAATAGCAGCAAAAGGTTGACTCATTTTAACCTGCACCCAGCCTAATTTGCATAATGGACTTTCTCTTGTTTGAATTTGGAAGAGTCTATTATTATATAATAAGGGATTTCATTATCAAAAGAGAGCAGACGCTAGTTTAGTCTGCTTAGACTGTACAGATACACAGGATTGGTAGACTCTGGTCCAGTGGATACTGTTTTCATAGGCAAGTCAATTTTACCAGTTTCTTACAAAAAGTCAAGGATGACAAAATATGTAAATTACCTATAGGTCATACTGTTCCATTTTTGTTACATTTAGGGTCGCCATCACGCAGTTCGGAAACAACAGTGAAAATAACAGTCATCAGCAAGAACTATCCAGTATTTGATCAACAAGTTTACCGTGCTACTATTCCGGAACATTATCCAGTGGGCTCATCAGTTGCTAGCTTGACAGCGAACAGTCCGACACAGGATAAATTAATTTACACAATTATCGAGGGCGATCGTTACGGGGACTTTGATGTCGATTTTAATATAGGTAGGTTTAGTAATTTGAATGTGTGCAACATATGAGCCGAGACATGACAAAACCAACATTATGGGTTTGCGGGGATGCGCAGGCTGGTCTGGATCCATGCTGGTCGCAAACCCATTATGTTGGTTTTGTCATGACGCGGCTCAAATTTTTCTTCACAATCGGTTGTTATAGATTTCTCAAATATTTAAATGGGAATTATTGTTGATGATCAGTTCAAAATGTTTTCATAAAATTGTGTAAAATCTCTTGGTGCGGAAGCTGTTTTGTATTGATAAATGGATTTCATTTCTTAACTAAAATCTAGATGTTATGTTTTTGTTATTACACAATAATCCAATTTATCTAAAGCAATATAACATTTATTACATTTTTTTTCCCTGGAAATAATCCCCGTTTTTTGTCTTTCGTGAAGAAATGATTTTGTTAAAAGAACATTTAGTAGAATTTACATGCAGTTTTTATTAGTTTGGATCCAGTAATTCATGTAAAGAAATTTTTTTTAAGTATAGAGAGAAAAAAAAGAAACCATATTTCTTTACTCTGAAAGTATATTTTCAGAATAAAAAAGTATGCTAAATCTAAATTTTTAAGGGAAACAAATTTATTTTAAAATGTATTTATTACAAGAATAATCAGATGCAATAATTACTATGCTTGCGTTGGCAAGAAAATTTTGAGGTTGAAGTTTTTTTGGGTTTTTTTTGCACGAAATGCTAATGATTGACAAAATGGTGTTGGGCTGCGATCGGTTTTCTTTCCTTTTATTTTTTTAACATTTGACAAATTCATGTCACTGACAATGATTTAACTTAACAACTTTCTAATCTAATGTTTTGGTGGCTGGTTGTGTTGAGTGGCCCATTTTTCATTTTCTTTTAACACAATTTTCTTTAACTAATAACCATTTCTGTTCTTTGGTGAAAACAAATTAAGTCCAATGAGCGAAGTATTTTTAGCCGTTTGAATTTAATTAGACTTATTGTCTTTTATGAAGTTTGATTAGGATGCCTCAGATAATGTTTCTTTTTATGCCCCCGCCATATAATGGCAGGGGCATATAGTGTTACCCTGTTCCGTCATTCCGTCATTCCGTCATTCCGTCCTTCCGTCATCATCAGTTTCCGTTCATTATCTTAATAACCCTTGCACATATTGAACTCAAATTTGACATATGGATATGTCATGAGAAAATACAGGTCAAGTTCGAAATTGGTCATGGTTCGATGATTTTTGGCAGAGTTATGCCCCTTTTACATTGAAAATATTATGAAATTTTCAGTTTCCGTTCATTATCTCCCAAACGGTTCAAAACATTCAATTCAAAATTGACATATGGATATGTCATGAGAAAATACAGGTCAAGTCCGAAAGTGGTCATGGTTCGATGATTTTTGGCAGAGTTATGCCCCTTTTACTTTGAAAATAATATGAAATTTTCAGTTTCCGTTCATTATCTCCCCAACGGTACAACACTTTCAACTCAAACTTGACATATTGATATGTCATGAGAAAATACAGGTCAAGTTCAAATTTGGTCAGGGTTCGATGATTTTTGGCAGAGTTATGCCCCTTTTACTTTGAAAATAATATGAAATTTTCAGTTTCCATTCATTAACTCCCCAATGGTACAACACATTCAACTCAAATTTGACATATGGATACGTCAAAGGAATGCGCAGGTCAAGTTCAAATTTGGTCATGGTTCAATGATTTTTTGGCAGAGTTATGCCCCTTTCACTTTGAAAATAATATGAAATTTTCAGTTTCCGTTCATTATCTCCCCAATCGTACAACACATTTAGCTCAAACTTGACATATTCATACGTCAAAGGAATGCGCAGGTCAAGTTCAAATTTGGTCATGGTTCGATGATTTTTGGCAGAGTTATGTCCCTTTTACTTTAAAAATAATATGAAATTTTCAGTTTCCGTTTATTATCTCCCCAACAATATTACACATTCAACTCAAATTTGACATATGGATATGTTTTTGGAATGCCCAAGCCAAGTTCGAATCTGGTCATGGTTCAATGATTTTTGGCAGAGTTATGCCCCTTTCACTTTGAAAATGATATGAAATTTACAGTTTCTGTTCATTATCAACCCAACAGTGTTACATATTCAACTCAAAATTGACATATGGATATGTCAAAGGAATGCGCAGGTCAAGTTGGAATTTGGTCATGGTTCGATGATTTTTTGGCAGAGTTATGTCCCTTTCACTTTGAAAATAATATAGATACATCTTAGGAATAAGCAGTTTAAGTTTGAATTTGGACGTGGTTCAATGATTTTAGACAAACTTATCTTTCCTGAATGTTGGAAAAATTTTGAACTTTCAGTTTCAGCACTCATACTTTTGTGGAAATGTATATAGCCATTATGTTGGCTACAAATATGCAATATGCTATTTTTAAAAGGTTAAGACTGAATAATTTCAGTGCCTTGAACATTGTATAAAAATGGTTAAGACTGAATAATTTCAGTGCCTTAAACATTGTATAAAAATGGTTTGTGTTAACATTGAAAAGTTTTAAGGGCTTTGAACTTAGAATGAAAAAAATAATTTGTGCAAACAAATTTGGAACTAGATATTATAACATTTGAAATTTTGGCTGCATGCGGGGGCATCCGTGGCATGATGACACATTTCTAGTATGTTTAAAATTTAATGATAAGCATAATATAGATAATTATTGAAATTGGCATTTTGGTAAAACTTAAATATAATAGTTAGAAAACGTTTTTATTTAAAGGCATTCTAAAAATAGAAGTCTTAACATCTGTTAAGTAGGTTACAGTTTAACTCAGTGCCTAAACGAGTTAAAAAGAAATGAATAGTTACATCTTTGTTTAATTGACAAACATTCGTTCCAGTGTAAATTTAAACAACATACGTTAAAAGTGAAAAAATTGTTTATTAAACAAATTAAAACAACGGGAATTGTAATTAGCTTACAGTAAAATGTATGGAATTAGTAATAAATTCACTTACGTTCCTCGCTTTATATTATTAGTGCTTCTTTTGAAACATTGTCTATGAAATTGTAACAAATTTTCACGCATTTTTTGTTTCCCTTTTTTTTTACGGCACTCTTGTAGGCAAATCTTAATCACTGGATCACAGATATCTTTGAAAGGGGAATAATCATTTTTAATTTTTTTTTTAAAATTTGATTAATATAATAATGTTGTTTAACACATTCTTGTGATGGGTCTTTATTTAACTTACATTTGCACGAAATATGGGAAAAGTTTTAATATTTTAACAACTTGTATATCAAATGATAACTTTAATACATGTGCTTTATTGATATATTTTTTGTAACAAATTTGATGCATTGATTGTTTTCAAAAATAATAGGAACATATTTTGTCTCTCTATGGCAATACTAATGTATCAAATTCTTATTTTGTTAAACATTTTAGTAAAAATTTTATGAAAAATAGTGTTGTACTAAGGGGACAATTTTAGGCTTCTTATTTTTCGTGTAACAGACATTTCAGGTTGTATATTTAGGTCAAGGTCATAAAGGCTATAATTAGATTTTCTAACTGTTCATCTTAGTAAGGCCGTGAGCTTTAAGTTTTGTCAAACACATTGTTTTTCAGCCTTAAGTGTTATAGGTATTCTTGGGTGTGGGGGGGGGGGGTGTTCCTTAGTTAAAAAATTTTGTAGTACTTATTATGGTGGTTCAATATTGTTACACATTTTTCGTGTATTTTGCTTGTTGTAATGTAAGTAATCACATATTAAACTTGATTTTTATTATTATTATTTTAAGACACAAGCTGGTGTGACATGTTGTATATTATAATATTGTTATATATTTTCAGATATGAACATTTAATAGCTTGTTGAAATGAACAACACTTCTTTTATTCAAAAGCTCACATTTTATGTTACAGCCATGTTAAAATAACTCGGATTATCCCCCTTCTTTTCTTTAACACCGCCAAAATCAGAAGAGAAAGGGTGGACTATTTTAGTAAGACCTCAATAATGATATCAATATATAAATAGTATTGAACATTGTGATTTATTTTCCAAAATTTATGTGTTAATTTGACAATAATAAGGTAAAAATTAAAATGATTTTAACAACAAAAAGGGGGGGGGGGGGGGGGGGGGTAGTGAAATGTAGGCAAAGAAAAATGAAATAAAGATGAAAGAAATGTTGTTCATTTCCTTGTATTTGATGTGTAATATTTTGTATATTTTGAACACATTTTTTGATTTTCCCCCAATATTTTTTGTGTGGTCTTTTTTATAAAGCCATGGATGTTCATGGTCCATGTGAGTATATAAAACAACAACATGCTTGATGCTTGCAAACATCCCAGAAACTGATGACTTCCTCAAATATGGCAAACTTTTCTAAAAAAAAAAAAATGCACATTACATTTCTATTTCAAAATTCTTTTCTTAAATCTTAAAATGTCATTTTCAAAGACTTATTTGGAAACTTTCCTTCATTATCTTTTATTGTATGAATAAAATATGTAACTAAATTTAGAGTACAAAATGAAATGAGACTCGTGTTAAAGTTTTGCCATTTTTGGAAGTCTTGTCAGTATCATATCTAATCACTGAAGCTAAAAATCTTGACACAAGGCTCTGCCAGTATATTTCTCACAAAAATTACTAAAAAAACAACAACAATATAATGGTGTAAAAAAAGTGTCGGTTTGGTTTGATTATATATACATGTATATTTATTTTTGTCATACTAATTTTCACATTTTTGGGGGTGTTGTTTTTTTTTGGTTAAAGGGTGATGACTCATATTTTATATTTTGTATTATTCATAATTACCTATTTGAAGGCATTAAGATTGAAACTTATCCAACAAGAATACTTGGTAAATATGGATATGAAATATATGATGAGTTAATCTGCTTGTTAATTAACTTATAAAATATAAATGGTCTTGAACTTATAGCAAACTTTTAAAGTTTCATATAGTAACTGGTTTTTTGGGATGATTAGTCTCCCTTTATTCTGCAGGGGAAAAGTTAAAAATAGATTTATAAAGATGTGATTATTATCATTAGTGAAGGGATAATGATTAATTTAGGGATAATTATTGATTGATGGATCATTACTGATTAAGAACATGACTGGTGCTGATCAATAAGCTTACAAATTATAATTCCAACATGTTTCCTTGAATTTTTTAATATTTCTTCATCAATTCCTGAAATTGATTTAATTATAACATTTTTGATTTCTATTATTATCAAGTGAAAGATTTACATTTGAAAAAAAAGGAGTTCTTAAAGATAGCCATGAAATAGATTACATGGTACACAAGGGAAATAAGCAAGTATGCTGTATTTAGTTAATTGAATTGACTTCTACAAATCAATGAAATTATTTAACACTGGGAATTGTATATGTAAATATCAGTGGCAATTTTCCACCAGTGAGATTTTATGTTACACGATTTTCTCGCCAAAATTCTATTAAAGAACAAAAGTCAACATAATTATGAAAATCGAAGTTAAGGTGTAAGAATGTAAAAGTAAATTAAGAAAAGTAAGGAAAAAAAAATTGTTTTGTAACATGTCGGGATTTTGCATTACTAGAATATATGGATGACTTTTGGATGACTTTTTCTTAGTTAAACTTTAACAGTTTTCTGTCAGATTTGTACTTTTGTGTACTTTTGTCAGTAAGGAACAGATAAAAGACGCTCGCGTAATTTATTACACGTAATAATATTAGTACACTTCCTTTTGCTCAGCAGGCGTATTTAATTTAAACCAACATATACCATATATAAATAAATATCTCCCTCTTTATAGACGGGGCTTGTATATATAATATTGTAATAATGGTAGCGATATTTCACTTACGGTCTAATTTAACTGTCACGGGCATACAATATACCAATTATAATGTCATATTTGTTGCTTTATTTGATATATTTTGTGGTACACACACTGTTATAAGTTAAGAATACATTTGATATTTTTTATACCATACAACTTAAAAGAAATTTTGTTAACCAGTGGGGTTTTTTTTCCATTTACATTTACACCATTAACAATTACAAGAAAATTTGAGAGCCTGAGTCTAGAAAAGTAGCTTCATTGGTGGGATATGAATTAATTTTTATTTTCGTTTTGTTTTGCTCGTCCTTTTTCACGTGCGACATAACACGTGCATGATGGGAAAGGGAAGAGTTATTTTATGCTTGCATTTGCTGTGTATGTACAGATAAGCTAGAGCCCTAAAACTGAAAGTAGAGCAGCTGAAATGTGTACAGAAAATATTGAAAAAAAAAACTTAATTAAGAAAACAATATCAAGAAGATATTTAAAAAAAAAAAAGAAAAAAAGAAATTTAGTAGCTTGGAAAGAAAAGAGACACCAATATTTGTTTAACCCTTTAAGACTGCTAATGACAATTTTACCAGTGCAGACCATGATCTGCCAGCATATGCGTTGCTTTGGATCATGGTCACTTTTCAATCACTACATATTTTGAAATTTTCCCTAAAAATGATTAATGGTTTTGTCCAGATTAAAAAATGGACAATTCCATTTTAAAATAATTAACGAAGAAAGGGTTAATCAAGATGCTCATTATACCCCCACAGACCATTATATATAGGTTTATATACTCCTATAAAATATATTTCTATATATTATATAACATATTATACACATTTTTGACTTGCGATTTATTTGAGCATTTGGGGCTTGTCATGCTTAGCTGGTATTTGGTAACGTTATATAAACATAGCTGTTATGTAAGTAGGTGACAAATTTAATTAAAACAAACAGTAATCAGATTTGTACTTAGTTTACTTAAAATATTTCGGTTTCAGTCTTAGAATTAAATAGACATTTTTTTATAATAAATATGGTAATATTACAGATATACAAATTATTTAAAGAAGTTTCACTTTCATTCGATCATTTATTATGCAATAAATCATGTTCAGGTGACAAAAATTAATAGTATGTGTAAATATTAAAAGCACACAATATTATTTTACAGTTTACAAAGCAGCTATGTCATATACTATGGTTTTTTTTTACGTTTTTAAAACCATTAGTTTTAATATTTTGCAGACTTTTTTTGTTTTGTTTTGCATTTACTTATGGCTGGTTGTTATTATATTTCAAACTACTCATACAGAATTTTGTTTTTTTCTGGCATTGTAACTTTGTTTTACTGGTTTCTACATAGATATATCTATATCAACAGCTTTTCTCTCTAACTTTGAATAACTTCTTTAATGATACAAGCTCTTTTGTATTGTTGTAACTATGCTAGTAAATGTTAATGAGAATCTCTCTATAATATAATTATTATCTTTTTAGCAATCTCTATTTTGCCATTGATGTAACATTAGCTAGTGCCTTACTGCATGTGAATTAAGCCCATGCAGGAATTTAATATTACCACCATTTACCAAAGAAATTATAACACATCTTACATAGATTGACAATGTTAATAAAATTACAAGTACTGTTGACTATTGCATAACTCTGAAACAAGATATCAACTTTCCAAATAATTTTCACATTACATGAAATTGACATGAACAAATGCTTTCGCCATCAAATGAAAGACAGTTTTCCTCTGTAAAAATGAAATAATGATGCCTCCTAATTACATGAAACACGTGAAGTAGTGATTACTCCCTTTACATGAAATGAATGATTTTCATTTTACATGAAATGAATGATTCTCACTTTACATGAAATAAATGATTTTTGCTTTACATGTTTTACGTGAAACAAATGATTATTCCTTTATAAATGATGTAATGCTAAAGAAATGCTAATTGAGGTACAATCTTTGAGGTCATGGAAGTTTGAATCTCATTCTGGTGAAAGATTTTTCCTAAAACTTTCAATGTTTTTGTTTTGTTTTGTTTCGGGGCATCAAGGAATCTTATATTAAGTATTTAATGGTGACAAGTTTTAAGTTAAGAACATAGAAAGGTTTACTTTTGAAAATAGTTACTAGTCAAATATTACTCTAGAACTGTGACATTTTTGTTCAGTTATTTTTATATACTATATATCCTAGTTATATATTTATCTACTAACTCTTCTCCCATAAGGAAACAATACAGTGCCATCTTTAAGTCACATAAATAGCTTTAAAGACCTTGAAAATTAAAGAATATTTTCTTCAAACATTAGAACTAGAAGTCAAATAGGTTTTTAATTTAGAAAATTCAAGATTTTATAATTTTGACAGGAATAAAATTGTAGTAATTAGGAAAATAATGTGTTTTTCCCCATCTGTTTGTAGATGTTAAAACTTTTTTACCCAGCCACCTTCTTACAGGCATAGATGCTACTTAAAGCTTAGACTGGTGTTTCTTAAAACGTAATTTTGTAATTTTAGTAATTTTTTAATCAATATTTTGATATAACAGTATCAGTACTTCTGTAAGAAGGTGTCTTGCCCATTAACAAAACATTTTTAAAATTGTCATTTCTCCTTCTAAAAGCACAATAAGATAAATGTAAGAAGTGACATGAGTATATATGTATATTTTTCAGGTCTGATCACAGTACGAGGTTATATAGAATATAACTCCATTCAGACTTATAACCTAACAGTGCAGGCTGTAGAGGTTAAATCTGGCCTAGCAACGACAGCTGTTGTCATAGTTACCGTACAGGTGAGTTCATGACCTTGAAAATTTATATTTAGTAACATTTACATTAAATTTACAAATTTTAGTTCTTAAATAACTTTCTTTTCATTTCTGCACATTTTGGCTAAGTATTTTATACTAAATCAAAGATTATAAAGATTACTAAATGACCTTGAATTTGGCGAAGTTATTTTTTACTTTTGCTAATACAAAGCCTTTTTGTTTTCAAGGACATCAATAACTTTGCCCCAGTATTCAAGAAAGAATTGTATGAAGTAACAGTATCTGAAGCAGCTTCCATTGGTGCCTCTGTTGTCAAGGTAACTGCAACTGACCCAGAATCTGGACTGAATGGACTGGTTCACTACTCACTGATCACAGATAAGAAAGGAAGTAGGGAAGTGGACTGGTTTACAGTAGACTCTAAGACTGGTCTCATAACCACAAAGAAATTCCTTGATAGAGAGAGGCAGTCTGAGTTTAGTTTCCTTGTGGAAGCAACAGATAGTGGACAGTTGCCGCTAAGCAGTAACAAGCCGTTGTTAGGGTGAAGATTTCTGATTTAAATGACAACGCCCCAATTTTTGACCAAGCATCATATCACTGTGTTATAACTGATCAAGGGGAGCGAGGGCAGCTGGTTACCAAGGTGTCAGCAACAGACCCAGATACAAGTAGTGCTGGATTACTGAGATATTCTATCATTGGTGGAAATGACCAGCACACTTTCCAGATGGATGAAGATAGAGGAATTATCATCTTGTCTAAACAACGGAAACCACAATTATATCGTGCTTATGAACTGAACATCTCGGTTACTGATGGCGTTTTTACAAATTTTGCACGAGTCAGCATCAAAGTTCAAAATAGCAATGTTCACTCGCCAAGATTTGAGCAGAGTATTTATGTGGCAGAGTTCCCAGAGAATTATGGGGAAGGAATGTTGGTGACGCAGGTTTCGGCGGTGGACAATGATGCAGGGAATTATGGGATGATCTCGTACTCTATTCCTAGTGAAGAAATGCTGCAGTATTTCAGAGTAGATGCAGATTCTGGTACGTGGAGTATTAATTTATACAACATATTTGAAATATGAAGTAGTATCGTTTCACTGATAACTGATTTCCCATGATTAAAATAATGACAAAGTTTTATGAAATAATAAATTTATAGATCATTAATTCATTAATTATATTGAAATGTTCATTATACCATGATTTTCGTTTCTATTTTTTGAAGAATTAATAAAAAGATTAAATTCAGATAATATAAGTTGTGATCGCTTTCTTGTTTTCTAGGTGAAATATTTTCTGTGCAAGTTTTTGATCGGGAACATCAGTCTGTCTTCAACGTTCCGATAGCAGCCACAGACAATGGTGGACGTATGGCCTTTACGAAACTTCACGTTTCTATAACCGACCAGAACGATAATGTCCCACAATTCCTTGCACAGGAGTACAAGTCGTCTTTACTTGATTCAACCCCAATCAACTCAACAATTATGAAGGTATGATTGTTGTTATTTTGCAGAAGGAATGATTATGAAAAATTTATCTTGAAGAAAAGTAGTGTATATTAGCTGCTATTAGTTCTAATTTGGCCCAAAACAGAACTCAATTTACATTTAAAATTAAAGTTTTCCTTATCGTGTTTTCATTTTTATCCTTTACTTAGCTAAATTTAGATCTACTTTTTTGCACTATCCATTATTTAAGAGATTTAAAGATAAAAATTGTAAATTTGAGCAACCAGTAAGCAGTAATAAGTATAGAGGTTGCAGGTCAGGTTGCAGGGACGTATAATCTGGTATGACTGTACTGGAGGTGTACATTGTAGCTAGATGCCCGAAATTATTGCTATTAGCACTTAGAAATATTATTTCTTACGTAGATTCAAGCCGAAGATGCTGACAGTGGTAGAAATGGTAAAATCATGTACAGTTTTGGTGAGGGAACAGTCAGTCGCATCACTCAGATGTTCCATATTGATCCTGAAACAGGCATCATCAGAACTTTACAGCTACTCAAAGACTCTGGTAAGTCTGGTGTTATTTTACCATACCTGTTTTAAAACACCACCTCAAAGTAATGACTATGTGCAGTAAAATTGTTATAATTGGCCAATACAAGACTTTAAGACTTTACAAGTTATTTTGCCAAACCTGTTTTAAACACCACCTCAAAGTACCAGTAATGATAATGTGAAGTAAACTTGTTATAATTGGCCAATATAATGTACCGGTATTCATTTATGCATTCTTCACACAAACTGTCCATCATATACATATTGTACTGTATTTCCATAAGCCCTCTAGCATATATATACTTCTCTGTGTCTGTTGCATGACAAATCCTAGACAATTTCATATTTCAAGAAGGAAATAAATTGTGTTTATCTTCTGGGAAATGCAGATTTTAATTATTACCTATAAAGGCAGAATAAAATCAGATTTTGTCAGAAATAATGGAATGTTTTCTTGGATAAACATGGTCCTTTGGTAGTTTAAGTTACATGCTCCAGGTTGTAGTTAATAGTTTAGACTTTTAAGAGATTTAGTTGTAAGCAATAAAAATGTATTCTGCTTTTAGAATAAAACAGAATAAGCAAAATTATTTTGAAAATTATTTCTTTAGGTTTTGAAATCTTGTGAAAATTAGTCAACACAACTTCACAGTGTCACACATTCATTATATTTTAATATGTTTACTGGTTAAGTATTTAATATCTGAAATGATTTATATATGTGACAGGAAGATCATGTATACAAAGATTTGTTTTCATTTCCAGTGAATGAAATGTTCCAGTTCTTTGTTGAAGCAAGTGATCAGGGAAGTACCCCGATGAAGAACAGTGTACCAGTCAATATGTGGGTCACAGACAATATTGATGTGCAACCAGTCTTTACACAATCTTCATACTCCTTCTTCTTGCCTGAAAACGAGGCTGTTTCCACGGTGATAGCAACAGTGAGGGCAGTCAGCATTCTACCATTGGAGTATCTTATAGTGCCAGGGTTTACAAAAAGCAGTAATGCCCCTGCTAGGTTTGGTATTGATAGTAAAGGGCGAATCCATGTTGCTGGTAGCCTAGATATGGAATCTACGTCTGCATATACCTTAACTGTTCAAGCTCAAACTCTCAGCAATAGACCTTTAGTGAGGCAGACCACAGTGAACATAAGACTCATGGACGTTAATGACAACTATCCATATTTTGAATCAAATCCATACAGAGTTACTGTTCCTGAAAATTCAGAATCTGGTATCAGTATAATTCAAGTTGTAGCACATGATTTAGACAAATCATCAAAGTTTCGCTACAGTTTCGGAGATAACATGCGTAAATATGCTCACCAATTTAGCATAGACTCTATAACAGGAGTGGTTACATTATTATCTCCCTTGGATAGAGAACAACAAGATATGTACAACTTGACAGTCTGGGTCAAGGACAGTGACGCAGCAGACGCGCTTCAGAATTTAACAATGGTTCAGGTCAAGGTCATGGATCATAATGACAATCCACCATTGTTTACACGCTCATATTACCAAGCTGCTGTCAATGAAGATGCATATCAAGGAACTATTTTAATGACCTTGACGACTGTCGATAAAGATATTGGACCGAATACAGACACACAGTATTATATCATCCAGGGCGATCCTGAAGGGAAGTTCAAAGTTCGCAAGAATGGTGACATTTTTGTGAATCGTCCACTAGACAGAGAGACAGTACCAAGATATCATCTGGTCGTTGCAGCCACAGATGGAGGCTTTGTTTCCACGGCAACAGTGACTGTTGATATCCTTGATGCTAATGATAACAGTCCAGTCTGTGAGAAGGTATTTATATTAGTTATCACTGTAAAATATTCCAAAATAAACTTTAATATATTTAATTAGTATCATAGCATTGAGTTTATTGCATGTCAAGTAATATTTGTATCTATGATTTTAACATTTTTAATTTGTTTGGATTTTATTCCTGTTTCACAACTTTGGTCATATCTTCATTCCTTGATTAGGTATAAGTAATAACCATTTATAATTTGCTTGAACACTGATGTAAGATTTTATTTATTTTTAGCTGCAGTATTCTGAGATAGTGAGTGAAGATGTACAAACATCATGGGTGATTTTGAGGTTAAAGGCGACAGACGCTGATGAGTACGGTTCCTTGCATTATGAACTGACTGAAGATCACTCGGAACACTTCTTTCTCGAGCCCAATTCAGGTAACATTTTCATGTTTTCATTAATAATGGAAGTAAGCAAATGTATTTCATTTCATTCAAAGTATGACATACTCTGTTCAATGCATTGATATTGTAACCATTCAGATAGTAAATTGTTAAGGCAAACATTTACAATAATATGAACTATGATACATGTTATTTGAAAAGCTTTCACATCAAAGGTCAAAGACACACTAAGAACATACATTAAGTTATGGCAAATAAACAGAATTATCAATAATGCAGTGTACTGACACAAAATTCTTTCTTTCTTATAACAGGTGCTTTGACAGCTGCCATTGATCTTGACAGAGAGACTATGGATTTGTATCACCTTGTAGCTAAAGCTGTTGACAGCGGTCGTAAGTCATGTACTATGGACATAACCATCAAACTGAGTGATGTGAATGACAACAGCCCAGTGTTTTCTCCAGTACAGGGTCCAATCCCCATCAGCGAGGGAGCTGCACTAAATACACTGGTGTACAGGGTGTATGCTTCTGATGCTGATTTTGGTAAGTTATGTTATTCAAGACACAAATGAACCCACTAAATAGAATGATGAAGAGGGGTTAAAAAAAATAAGGCTTAGGAGAATTGTCCTAGAAGGTTTCCGAAGAATGAATTAAGCATAACAATTAAAATTTTGAAATACTTTTTCCAGAATTATGATAATTTCACCATTTACCCCGCATTTTCAACATTTCAGAAAGGAAATAGGTCTAACATTAAAGAATATTAAATCAAACAATTATAAATTAAGTGATTTTGGATTTGTATTAGGTATAAATCGACAAGTTCTGTATGAACTAAAGACAAATCCAGACGGCATGTTCACCATTAATGAGAAGAGCGGACTACTCCAACTTGCTAAAGAGCTAGACAGGGAGACAACTGCAGCACATACTGTTACTGTTGTAGCCAAAGACAGGGTAAGTAAACAAAAGATTAAAAAAAAAAGAAAGATTAAAAAGGACTCAAAAGGTCGTGAAAAAGTCAAAATGAGATTTTGTTGAGAAATTTTATAATAAAACAGTGTATTTGAATAAAATAAAGGATGTAATTTGGGAATGATTTTTGTTAAAATGGAACTGAAAAGAAATATAAGATTTTGATTTTCTTTCTATAGTTTAAGTGTGTTCTTTGCATCATTATGTTGCCTATTCTCACTGTACAAGAGGTGGTGTTTTTATCTGCATTTTGTTTTTCCATAATAAAAAACTTTTAATATCTAAATATCAGGGGAAACCTCAGATGACAACAGAAATTGAACTTGAAATCAATGTCCTGGATATAAATGACAACCCACCAGAATTTGAGCAGACGACATACTGGGCTTCAGTTCCAGAGAATGCTGTGATTGGTCAATCAATAACTAGTATCCTAGCAACGAGCAAGGACACTGGGATAAATGCTAAGATATCATATTACATCCAAGCTGGCAATGATAAAGACAAATTTTCTGTGGACCCTGATACAGGTAAAATAACCATAATATAAATATCTACATTAGATTTTGCAAAAAAATTGTTTTGTTCCATATTATTTGGCTGATTTTTCTAGCTTTCCCATTTTTGTTTTTCTTATTTATGTTAAAAAACTTGTTACATAAAGACATCATGTTTGCCTGTGCAAAATATCCATGAATTTCAATTATAATTAAAGTTAAAGAATTCATTTATTTCAGCCAGAAATTTGAGTTTAATCTTTATATCCTAGCATTCTTAATATTGTTAATTCAATTTAAAAAAAAGTTTACATGATTCTGATTGGTTATTTAAATATTTTCAGGTGTTATAAGAACAGCTGGAGTGTTGAATCATGAGACTGTACCAGGCTATGTGCTGACTGTACGTGCCCAGGATCATGGTGAGGTGCCACTCAGTAACACTGCCTATGTTCAAATCAATGTAACAGATGTAAATGACAATCCACCTGTGTTTGCCCAGAAATTGTACACAGCTAAAATCAGAGAGGATGCAAAGATAGGGTCAAAGGTTATCCAGGTATGAATTTTGTCCTTTTTATCCATGTCACATATAATCCTGACAAGACTTTAAAGGTGCAAGCAATTAAAAATGCTTAGTTTTAATTGGTCATGGTTTTTATAAATTGAATAAAACTTATACAGTCTTGCAAAGTATTGTTATTGGATTTAAGTACATGTACATCAAGTGAATGTACATGGTTATCAAGTACTATATAATTTAAGCTGTTTTTTTAACAGTTTATTGACATTTTTGTCATAAAAATAGGACATGTTCATCGGTCGTAAAATTGGCTAGGATGATATTACTTATTAATGTTCTTATTTTCAGGTAATATCATCCGACGCTGACAGTGATCCTCGTAACAAGGCCGCCAACTACAGTATCTTATCAGGTGACCAGTTCCGAGTGTTTGACATACATCCATCAGATGGTACACTTGTTGTCCGAAATCATCTTGATCGGGAAACCGTAAGATTTCTTTTTTCTTTGTTTCACACTTTTTTCATTGGCTTTCTTTTTAACATCAAGACTTTTGAGCTTTATATAAAAATATAGGAACCATCAATACTTAAGACATTGTTTTGATTTTTCTTTTGTACTACATACATGTGAACTTTTTTTGATGATCAAGTGGGAGATTTTTCTTCAAAAAGAGGGAGATTTTAGAATTTGTAATAAGCAAAGAAGGAAGTTCTGACATCAAAAATAGGGAGATTTCTTTAATTTGTGAAAATACCCCTTATTTTAAGAAAAATCTTTGAAAATATGGCTGCAGAAAGTGGGAGTCTCCCGCTAAAAGTGTGAGAGTTCACATGTATGGTACTATAGTTGATGTCAATAGTTCGGTCAATTATTTATTAAGAAATGTGGAGAGAATGCAAATAAAATTTTCAAAAACACATTTATCTGGGGAAAAAAAACCACCAAGGCAATAATTTCTGTCAAATGAGGCAAAATAAATATTTTTTAGCACATACAATAAAAAATATTTTCAATCTCTTATGTTTTTCAGATATCTGCTTATGCATTACATATAAGAGCTGCCAACTATCATTTGATGGCTGAAACTATAGTTAACATCGAGGTCCTAGATGCCAATGACTCTCCGCCCAGGTTTACCGAGGATAATTACACCGTTTTTGTACAGGTATGCCAATATCGTATCTCGTATTGAATCTCGTATATAGATCCACGAGTGTTAGTTTAGAAAGGGATATATATATATATATCTATAAGAATAGATATAGGTTAAATTTTATTCTAGTTTATATTAGATGTAATTGTAATATAATACCTTTTTTTACCATCTGTAAGATTATTTTTTGCCACAATTTTTCACGCACCTTTTCATTCATTGCTTGCTTAAATTTGAATTAAAGTGATTAAAATATAATGTTTAAGATTTAGAGGATATTGAATGAGTGTAGGTTCAATACTGAATTTATTGAAAAAGTTGAATAAAATTATATTATACGAGCCTCTGGCAAGGGTGATATATTTCATTCAACAAGTTCAATAAATTAAGTAATGAAGATGCACACATATAATATCCTATTTATCACATATCCAAAATATTAACTGTTTACAGTAAAAAAGTCAATCACCATTTTATTGATGTGCCTTACGCTAAAATTTAACTTTTTTTTACAATATGTATAATGCAAATGATGTTGCATCAAAATTCAAAATGCATATGCAAGGCCATGCAATACCATTTTATTGAGTCACAAAAGCTGCACGGATATGTGATAAAAAATAATACCACATGCGTTTTTGGCTGAATTCAGTGTATAAGAACTTTCATTAAATGTTAAGTTTGGGACAGGTATTTTGTTTGCTTTCCTTGGAATTTAGTTGCTGAAATTTTATGATATATTTTTTATGAAAATTGATAGATGAACTCCCTCCTGTCAGTAAGTACCCAAGAATGTTGCTTATACATTTTACTACATATTGTCATGCATGATCAAAAACAACAACAACAATAAAAGAACTATAACAAGTTTGACCGATCAATTTCCGTGCAATTTTTTTTTTTTTAAATGTAAAATTTTAACAATTAGCATCACATAAAGTCACTACAAATATGAAAAAGAATATTTTTTTCTGCAAAATAAAAAGTCGCTGTCTGATGTAGATCATGTGATTACTGAATAAAACACAGTTTGATTACATTGTGAAATAATTCCTTCAATCCATCACATGTTCATCGAATCATGCCAAGTTTGATGAATTTCCTAATAGTTTGACTTTAGTGTATTTAAAATCCATGTTTGAATATCCAGTCCTTTACCTTTCACATGTCACAATCTTAATTATACTGCCAAGTTTGGTAAAAATCCAGGCATTTCATGAAAGTCAAGCGCTTTTTTAATGACTTCAGGAAAATATAATTGTTTTTTAAAAAAAAAAAAAAAAAACATTTTTCACAAGAAAGGTTACATAAATGAAATAGAAATTCAAACAGGTGTTATATGAAATGTTTTTCTAACATTAGTATGAAAATTAGGTTATGGACTGGTATAAATAATAATAATAAAAATGTGGTAGACTGGTTATGCAATTTAGAAATAATAAGTTAGGAATTATGACTGACTGGTTCTATATATAAAACAATAAAATTATATCTAGTAGACTGGTTTGTTTTGCCATGTTAGACTGGTTTTTCACATGATAAATATGTACTGTAGATTTGCACTAAACTTGGTACACATGGACTGAGAAATAAGGCATCCATGATATGACTATTATATGCATGTGTAGTAGAAAATATATTATATACTGTAAGATATGGTTATTATTTTATTTATTTTTTAATGAAAATGAAGTGAAAAATAATACCCTGCATGACGTAGGAATTCTTTATTTTGTTTTTTTAAAAGTGGTTGAGATAATTTTAGTAATTTGCATAACCATTATTTTTTAGGGTTTTTATATCTATTAACTTGATTAAACTTTTAAAAAAAAAATTACTTTAGGTAAGTTTAAATTTTTATGAAATTGATTTTTGAAGAAATGAGTGTGTATAAGATTTTTTATATAAGTTTATATGAAATTCTGAAAAGTAAATTTTAAATACATTTTGTATAAATGAAAGAAGTATGTTCAGAAACATTGCAAGATTTGCATGTACAATAGAAACCGTGATGCTACATTTTGTATAATCTATTCATATAGAATGCAATTGAGTAACTTCATATATATATGAGCCGTGTCATGACAAAACCAACATAGTGGGTTTGCGACCAGCATGGATCCAGACCAGCCTGCGCATCCGCGCAGTCTGATCAGAATCCATGCTGTTCGCTTACAAACCCTATTGCAAGTAGAGAAACTAATAGCGAACAGCATGGATCCTGATCAGAGGCTGGTCTGGATCCATGCTGGTCGCAAAACCACTATGTTGGTTTTGTCATGACACGGCTCAATTATTTTACTAGATGTATAGGTCAAACACTTGACAAAGAATATCTGTATCTGTACGTAATGTCAACTTTTCTATACTTTTGACTATTATTTTTTTATTTTGATCAATTTCAAACTTTTTGACATTGTTTTTTATATGGTTGTAAGAATTTTTATTATTTTTTTTAGCTTTGCCTGTGTGTTTTATATTTAGTTTCCTTTTAATTATTTGAATTTTTATGTTTTGAAAATGTTGTGAAATTTCTTTTATTAGAAAATCTTTTTATTCTTACTGAATAGTTAAATTTTTATAAAAGATTTTTATTTTACTTTTAATGTGTAAAGTTTAACATACACGCAATTTGTTTTTTTCTTGAACTTATTTAACTTTTTTTTTCTTGGGTTTCAAATTAATTTGATTTTTAACTAAGGAAAATGGATTTAAAAAAACGTAATCAACTAATCAAAGATATGTCAGTTAGTTTCTATAGACCGGAAAAAATAAGTTTTCTTACTCTCGTCTGTATAATAATGAATAATGCAGGTATCAAACAAATGTAACATACATGTAAATGATTCATTTATTTTTGATGTCATATATATATATTTTTTCTTTCATGTGATAAATATATGTAAGGTACTTGGGTTATTTTGGTGGAAGTTGAAATTTATTTTTTTTTAGACTGAGAATGTTTCTTCTATACCAATGTGAGGTTTTGGATCTCCATCATGTGTATATATCTTTTTCTTTTACAATACATATGTATATTAATTATTCTAATAACAATTTATAGGAGGACAAAGATGTTACTGCCTGCGTTCTGAAGTTTGAGGTCACAGATGATGACCTTGACCCTAACGGTGCACCGTTCACCTTTGACATCACTTCCGGAGACGGTGAAGGAAAGTTCCACGTTGATAATGAGGGTAATCTATGTATAGCGAGGAACTTGAATCGTCAAGTGACCGCCGATTACCAGCTTATTGTTAGAGTATACGATAACGGAACACCTGCGATGTATTCGGAGGTTAAAGTCGAAGTTAGTGTCATAGAGGAAAGCACTTTTTCACCAGAAGTTTCAAACATGGCCGTATCTATAAGTTCGTATCTAGACGAATTTCCAGGTGGCGTTATTGGTGTAGTGAAAGCTATCGATGGAGATCAGTTTGATACCCTAGAGTATCAAGTGGTTTCGGAAAATCGCCACTTGTTTGATATAGACAAATTAGACGGGAGACTCCTTGCTTTTGCCGGCCTTGACTCTGGAAATTACATGATCAACGTCAGTGTCACAGATGGGAAGTATACATCATACGGGTCAGTCGATGTTGAAGTTACAACTATTACCACTGAAATGATCGCAAATGCCATTACATTACAGCTTGCTGATGTGGACGCTGAGAAATTCGTGAAAAATTACAAACGTGACTTCCAGAGGGTACTTAAAAGGGAATTGGGTGTGAGAACAAGGGATATTGAAATCATCAACATACAAAAATCTCAGGGCTCAATAGATGCAGCTAATCGTTCACGCAGGGATACAAGCTCAAATCTGGACATTCTCTTTGCCGTAAGCAGAAATGGAGAGTATATTTCACGAGACCGATTAAAGAGAAAAGTAGCCCGTGCCATACCAGAACTAGAGGATGCAATGTCGGTGAAAATTCTCAAGGTTTTCTCAGATGTTTGTGAAAAGGATATGTGCGAAGGTGGAGAATGTTTGGGATTTGTAGAGTTCGACAAAGACAGCCTCGTACCAATCCTTATGGACGGAGGAAGCTTCGTCGCAGCCAAACATCGGTACACATATGAGTGTGAATGTCCCAATGGAAATATTGGTAAGTATATACCACTTGCGTTGATTTGAATAGATGTTTAGGATGATGTTGTGTTGAATGTCATTGACTTTATAAGAATTACATAATTATGAACACATTATGGTGAACTTAAGGTCTTGGATATTTTTTTTGCTACCATGTGTAAATGTTAGATTTGATGAATGAGACCGTTTATTTTGATTTTTGTTAAAATATACTATATCTATTTATGAATTATTAATACCAAGATAAATTTTGATGAATTTGTGATCTTGTGATTATCAAGGTTGTTTTTATCTATAAATAATAATCACTGGACTATGATACTTCATTTCAGGAGATAATTGCCTGTCGAATCCAACAAGCTGTGACGAGAACCCATGTCCTACATACAAGCTGTGCACCCCTCATCCTGTACATGGATACCAGTGTTTGTGCCCACAGGGACAGACAGGCAGACACTGTGAGAAAGATCTGGACAATAAATGTGACAATACAAACTGTCCAAGAGGTAAGCTCCAATTTGACATATCAATAAGATCTTAATATAGTATAATCATTTACATGCATATAGAATGGAGATTTTTCTTCAGTTAAATGCCGAAGATACTGATCGTTTCAGAAAGTTTTTAATCTTTTTTCAAAGTTGATGATAATAATACTTTGGATTGAAATGTGTTATATTTACATTTGACCATGATCTTTTTTTTGATACCAGTTATATTTTATTGTCATAATCTTTTCTTGATTTATTCCTCTTTTATGTTTAATCATTTCTAATTTGTAAACCAATATTTTGTATTTAAGTAGGAGATTCCCCAATCACTTTCTCTGGAAACAGTTATGCCAAATGGAAGCTAGTCGACCCAATAGATAGGCGGCTTAGTCTGTCTATGAGAATCAAAACAATCAAAGATACAGCCAGTCTGATGTTTGCCAAGGGCAGAGTAGACTATAGTATTCTCGAGGTATTTATCTCCCTTGTTTCTGTACAAGTTTCAATGTTTTACAGTCCGTATATCTTATATCACAGCCGATCTTCCTTGACAATAATTTATGCAGTCATATTCTCTTTTAAAAAGTGAATCTGTACAAATCTTTAAGGAGAAAAAATAGTTTTATTCTTAAAATGCTTTATGTGCTTTTTATAGATTTGTCTGTTCTATTTTTAGCTTGTGAATGGAATGGTTCAGTACAGATTTGACTGTGGTAGTGGAGAAGGTCTGGTTCTTTTACCTAATCATGTCAGTGACGGAAAGTGGCATACGATAATGGTGGAACGTCATGGAAAAGATGCCGCCATCTTTCTGGATGGACAGTTTTCTTCGTTAACAAGTGCTCCCGGAACCAACGATGTTCTAAACCTCGACACAAGCGATGTTTACTTTGGAGCGGAGGTGGAAATGTATGCTAATGGATATATTGATATTCGTAAAGGGTTCCGAGGCTGTATAGAGGATATTAGGATCTATAACGTTCGATTACCGGTCTCCGGCAACAATGCTGTTGCCCTTTCACAAGACTTTGAAAAAGTGGAATTCTCATGCAGGGACTCGGACTTTGCCATAAACGGAAACAGTAAGTTGTTATTTCTTATACAAGAATATTATATATTATTATAAATATTAAGAACAAGCACAAATAGGAAGCTAACCAAGTATTAAACAGTATTACTTAATCATAGAATTACACTTTTCTTTTATTACTTGTTGAACATTGCAATGTTATTGTTTATTTTGTAAGTTGACAAGACGCCAGAATTTTAATATGTTTGTAATTTATGAAAAAATTAGTATTACAAATAAGATGTTAAAGTTCATAACAGCAAAGCATGCTTTTTTAACGACTGTCTAAATAAGTCTTGCATTCGTTAAAAAATAATTTTTATATATCATTATTTCTTACAGATATCTGTAGCACATTCCCGTGTATGAATGGTGGACAATGTGAGACAACAGGACAGAATACATTTATCTGTAGATGTAGCAGTGACCGTTACCGTGGTGCCAAGTGTGAAATAGACTCGCAACCGTGCCTGAGACAACCCTGTCTGAATAATGGTCAGTATTGTTATAGTTTGTTAAATTGAAGTTTACTAATTGGAACATTTCACAATTTGTCATTTTGCTTTTATAAGAAAAGAAGAAAAAGTTGAGCTGTTTACAGGTTTCAATATGAAACTTGGAATACTTGCTTATTATGATGAGAGGCAGTTGATTCATTTGTTAGGCAAGGGGCATTATTCTGAAAGCTATACTTTTGGAGTTATGTCCCTATCAAACTTTTTGTCAAAAGTGGTTATTCAAACAGACATGGTGGCCTTGTTTCTATGGGATTTGATGAGTCTTGTTTTGAAATGTTTGTGGTTCTAACCATATGCTAGTTTGTCCTTGAAATAAGTTAGATATGGGGACCGCTTTTGACCCTCTTTAGTTTTCCATCACCTGAATAGATTAAAAAAAAACATGTTGAATGACTAATAGCGTTACTATAGTTTGAAATTCTACTATACAAAAATTTCGAGAAAACTTTAATGATATTTATAGTAATATGTTAATCTCGTAGGTTTGATGAGTGTGGCAAATTATATTGTCAATAAAAATAAAAATGCATGTTGGTTATCTTGCAGGGGTATGTGAAAATGTTGTTGGTATTCCAAACGAATTTGTCTGCAAGTGTGTCGGTGACTATAGGGGTCGTAGGTGCGAGTACGGGAAATTCTGTCTACCAAACCCATGCAAACATGGTGGCACCTGTATTGAGGGACCAGCGTCATTTAATTGTTTATGTCAAGCTGGATTCACAGGTACATTTATATTCATCTTGTTCCTTCATCTGAACTGTAACATGTAGAATATATAAATATTCTTCACTTAAACAGAAGTTTTATCGTTCTGTTAAGTCTGTTTTTTGTAATTCCAAGAAAAGTAACAAGACTGGAAATTAATCTTTAAAATTAATGTTCTATAAATCTTAATATAATCAGACAAAAAAAACAAGACAAGTTTCTAAAATCTTTTAATTGATGAAAATTGATATAACAATGCATTTTCTGGGACATTTGTATTGACAAAAGTGTGTTATTGTTTTCTAGGGTCAAGATGCGAGTCTATTGTGGATGTATGTTTGTCCAACCCATGCAAAAACCAAGGTGATTGTATACAGGAGGGGAGCGGTTATGTGTGTAATTGTTCAAACTCCTTCAGTGGCTCACATTGTGAAGATATTATCATTCCAGCGATCTCGTCAAGTTCTGCGGGAATTAATTCTGATGAAATATACGCCATTGCTGGTATGTTATCAATATTTTTTCATATTGTTTTTCCTTTTGAATGAATATGGATTGTTTTTACTTTAATTTCTTAATTTAATATTATAAAAGGATATAAAGCTCTTGAAATTTTGTTTGTAAACTTTGTTTTTGAGAAATATGCTTCAGATTACAAAAAATTCATTTTCCTAATCAATCAGTAAAAGTATTTCGATTTTGAAAATATTAAAAATTATATTAAATGCAGTTAAATGTGTAATTTTTGTATAAATATTTTGTTTATTTTACAGGAGTTGCTGGTGGCTTAATTCTGGTTGTAATTATTTTTGTGCTAATTCGTGTTTGGCGACAGAAGAAGAGACAGCGTCGCCATGCCAACATCACACCTGGTATTGCTGGAGATGGCACTGAAGTCTACCTTAACCTTCTTAAAGATGACAAGAATAAATATAAAGCAGAAAACATGTTAAAAATGGATAAAATCAACAACAGAAATAAATCGCCACCGTCGCCACAACCCCCGCCAGTTCCTGATCGCCCAGCGTCGTACACGCCCAGTGCCAGAGACTCTATAAATACATTAAATAATTTCGACCAATTAAGAAGTTGTACATATGGAAGTGCTGCAGATGAACTGGAACACGTTCCTAACATTCCACCTTACAATTTAGATTTTCTAACGTTTGCCCCACCCAGAAGTGTAGCCAGTATACAGCCGACCATACCCCCACCACCTCAAAGTGATACAGATTCGATACAAAAGGAACCATGGGAATTTGCGTGTCAAAATATTTTACAAAATTATATGTCAGGTAATTTAAACAATAATTAGTTCATACAGAATTTATTTTATTTAAATTGTGTTGGAACCTTTACAGTGACAGTCTTGATCTGATAGTCTCCAATCTGTTCCTGGAACCGTACATTTCTACTCCTACATGTTTAACCATTTGGCCATGCTGCCACTACATGTATATACTTCTTTTTCAAAAAGTTCAATTTCTTTATTCACCTTTACAATTAAATATGAATTATATTATTTTTGCTTTTTATATTTTAAGAAAAGATAATCATTTTTACTTTAATAAAAAATTTGAAACAAATTTTTTTAATATACCTGATTTTACATTTATTTTGATAGTTTGTTTCTACATTATTTTCAAAATTTTGTTATTACAGAAAAGAATTCCGATAAACTGTCGAAGATGATGCCGATTGGCACAGTACAACCGATGTCACATCTTCAAGGTCAAGATAATACATCAATCAGCAGTTTACCTGTGTCCGAGTCCGAGGATGACCAACAAGGTATGATATCCTCGTACATTACATTTTGATTTTTTTTTTTCATTAATCTTATTTTTCTACTTACAAATAATCATCTAATTTCTAATATTATAAAGAATCATAGATGTAATAAAGTTAGTAATAATTTTAATTTTTAGTTAATAAATAACTCACTAATTTTTAGAGCAAAAAAAAAAAATGAAATGGTCAACCAGTATAAGGTGATTTTACTTCTTAGTTATTAGAGAAATAATATTTTATATGTAATGTGTTTGAATTTTATATGAGATATATTATGTTAAAAGTAGATGAATTAGAGAGGGTTTTTATAGCATGTTTATTTCCATTATGTAGAATTCTTATCAAATTTATTAAAATATTGTCGTCAAAATAATTTAATGTTAAATAGGAATTTATTACTGTAATGAAAATCATCTGTATATTTGAGTGGGGTATTTTAGGGGTCATTATGAAGGCAATTTATAAATTTCAATTTTGAATTTGTAGAATTTATTGATTGTAAGTCTGTGCACACCTTTTTTTCAATCAAAATGAGGCTAATTATCACTGAAACCTTTGGTGTAGGTAAACATTTGAAAGATAATTCTCTTGTGAAATGGTAGATGAGTTTTGACCCAAGTTTTTTTCTCATTCATGTTTATGTAATGTAGATTTAGAAATAATTCCATATAGTGTTACCATGGTTACACACCATCATTCATAAAATATCATCAATACCTAGGGATAACTAGGAGTAGGACAGTAACTTTTGGCCCAACAGAAATTATAGATTCCGAAACAGTTTCGTAGGCCACCTGGTGAGTGCACTGTATGACCTTGTTTCCATGGCAATTTGGTGAGTGCACTGAGTGAACCTGTTTCCATGGCAACAAGCAGCATGACCAAATCCAGTTGTATCAATGAATTTGATTGGCTCTAAATATTAATAGTCCTCTGCTTTATAATTCTCGCTCAATGTGAAGAAAAGTGAGATTGCCTAACTTAGTATGTGCATGAATAAAATGAGGTTTTTTGAATCTTAACATCAGTAATATATAGAGTAGCATAAATAATCTAAAAAAAACTCATCATATTTTTATAAAATGTATTTTTATTCATGTACAAAATAAACACATTCATGTTAATGATATCGGAAATTTTGATTTTCAATTTTTGGTACGTCTTGGAACTGTCCAAAAAGATAACGCTTTGGGTAAAGATAAAAAGCATGATATCAAGTTACTTTTTTTCTTTAAAACATTATTTATAAAAGAAATGAAAAGAAAATTTATAAAAGAAATGAAAAGAAAAGAAAAATGAAATGAAAAGAATATTTGTTTTCTTATTAAATTCAGCCAATAGGAAGAAAGGAAAGAAAGGTGAAAATCTTGAAGCAGCATGAAGCTACTATCATGATAAAATATTCCAACTATTGTATACAGTAACATTGTATTATAAGTTAGTCCCCTCGAGCATAGCAAGTAAACTTCATGTTAAATGAAAAAGATTTTTATATAAAAAGATGGAAGAAAAGAAAAAAAAGTTTTTTAAGCATTAGAATAAACGTTTTTGTTAAAAAAAATCAAAGAAAATATTTAAGAAAAAAAAAACTTTTTGGAAACAGACTATATTTTTCAAAAATCAAAAATATATAGTCTATTTCAATTGCTGTGCTCATTAATTTAGCTATATTATATAAACAATAACACAGCATGCACCTTCTGTATATGGATCTATTATCATTTCAGCATTTTGTGTTGCAGCGAAAAAAATATTCTTATTTCAATATTAAAGCAAGTTTTTTGTTGCTTACAATGAGTTATTTCTGGGCAAATTTCACAGCTTATGTGATTATATTTATATGAAAATAATCACCGTCACTTTGTCGATGTATTTTGCTGAGGCAGCAAGAATTATTTTATTTTTAATGCTATGATTTACTTTCTTAGAAAATTTTTCCATTTTGTTAATTGAAATTTTTCAGACTGTTAATCTTATTTTCACCCCACGTTCAAGTGGGCAAAGCTTTAAATGTTGTTTGCAAATTTTTTTATTGCATATTATTTGTTGAATATTTCAATTTTATTAGATTTAATAGACAATTTTTATTTTCAGTTAAAAATTTTGATTTTCAACTTAATTAAATATTTACAATACATACAAGTAGCTTGTCCTTGATTTTTAAGTATTATAATTACTGGTCCCTGTTTAGATAATAACTGCTCCCTGTTAAGAAGGGATCTGTGTATGTTTCCGTATATGAGATGGAAACTGTGTCGCATTTATTATGTGATTTTATCATTAATTCAACCAAAGAAAGGGAAAAAAAAGAAAAAACATACATGTACCATATTTGTTTATTATGCTAGTAATCAATGTTTTGGTGTTGGTATAAAAAGCTTATCCTGTCAGTTCTTTTATTATGCTTATACTTGTTTCATTGCTGAATTAATTCTCTTGATTTCTTTATTCTTCATCAAGTGGCCGAGAAGAATGGTAGGGATAAGTTATTAATTTTTTAATTTCTTTTTCCTATACCTGTTTGGTAATAATGTATTGTGGGTCTGAAATTTATGTGGTAGTTTCCTGATTTCTTGGTTCCCAAACTGTAGTTTATGGGAGAAGTCATTATTATTATTATTATTTCATTTCATTTATTTGGTTGAGATGTCGGCAGTTTTAAATGTGCTTTTATTTGGTCAGTTTTTGCATGAATGGATATTGTAAGATTAAAAGTTTCTAGAAGATTTGCTTTAATGTGATTCTAATTTTAGTTTTGATTTTGAATAGTTTTTTATTTATTTTTGAGTTGGCATTTTGAAAGTGGCTGAGGATTGCATGACTACGGAGATTACATGTTCTATTTCTACGAGTGTTTCTTCTTAAACTTTGGTAAAATGGTTAGAATCTTATTTTGGGACAATCTTTTCTCTTTTTCATTCCGTTGGTGTGTCTGGGCTGATGGATTAACAACAGAGGCATTTGTGTAATATTTTGATTAAATTAAATAAGTTTTTCTTAATTAACATTTTAAATGTGACAGATTTGTCAAATTATCAACAGCAACAACAAAACTGCCAAACCATAAATTCCTCTGTTTTGTAGTCCATCAAAGATATATTCATGTATAGGTAGTTCTTAGGAACACAGTGACTCCTATGTATAAAGTTTGTCTCTTCTTTGCCACTTTACCTATTTTCTGATCTTCACTTTTTGTTTTGTTGAGCTTCCTTTCTTGTCATCTCTCTTTTGCCACACTTAAATCTTGTTCTTTACTTTATTGACCACTTCCTATTGTTCATTGTTCCCTCTTTGACTGTTACAATTATCTTTTCAATCTTTTGATCTTCTGTACTGTGTTCTGACATTCCATAATGTTTTCTGACATTTCTTTCTGGCTTCTGACATTCCATACTGTCTTCTGGCGTTCTATGCTGTTTTTTTGACATTACATACTGTCTTCTGTCATTCCATTCTGTCTTCTGTCATTCCATTCGGTCTTCTGTCATTCCATACTGTCTTCTAGCTTCCATACTGTCCTCTTTCTGACATTCCATACTGTCCTCTTTCTGACATTCCATACTGTCCTCTTTCTGACATTCAAACTTTCTTCTTTTTGACATTCCATACTGTCTTCTGACATTTCATTCTGTCTTCTGAAAATTACTATTTCTGTAATTTACAGACTTTTGAATTACTATTACAATTTTTATTTTGAAAGTCTCCAATAATTATTACTAAAAGCATCATGCTTATTGTGAATTGCTTTATCTATTTCATTAACACCGAATATCATAATATGGTACATACACCATTATATCAACATGTAAATCTGATACAAAAAAAAATATTTACTTGTGTATCTTCATACCTGGAAAATTCCATTAACAATGTAAATGTAATTTGATGTGTAACTTAAATACAAATTGAAAAAAATTTAATCATATCCAATCCCTTTGTTTTTTAAGTTTTAAAACATGTGAAATGTTTGTTAAGATATGTGAGCTAAGGGTTCTTTGATAAAATGTAATAAAGACATGCGTTGTGGAGAATGTAACTTTGTATTTGCACATAGAGTACTGTATAACATTGTTACCTTTAGTTTTGAGTGAAACAAATCCTGATCTAATTTCTGCAGGTCTTCTAACTTGTCTTTTTGCAATTTTAAAAGAGCTTCATAGAAAATTGCTAGATTATTTTTTCTGTATACAGTATTGGAAGAAGATAATAAGTTTTTCTCTCGCTATTTTCCAGGTTATCATTGGGACACATCAGATTGGGCACCAGAGAGGTCATTACCAAATATAAGTGAGGTACCAGCTGGGGAATGTCCGGATTCACCGGGTTCCGAGAGTCCACATAGTAATGAATCTAATACACATATCGACAACTTAGGACAAGGGCGTTACATGACAGACGGAGAATACATTGACTCTGAATATGTTGGCGATTCGGAATATGCCGAACATGATATGGAGGAACCACCTGATCTACCGAATTACGAGGAACTCCTTGCGGAACAAAGTAGACTTCTTGATGATTATGAAATGCCAAATAGAAACATGCATGTTCATCCAGACTATTATCTCCCCTTAAATTCGAGCTTTACAAGTGCTGATGGGCCAAATGAAGAAAATTGGCCAGCGCCCCCGCCTTGTGTTGTTAACGGAGCGGAAGTAAATATCAGTGATTCGAGCCACACAACAACAAGTTCCGATGATGATAATGACTCAGTGTTGCATTATGGGTTCCCACCGTCACATTTTAACAATATAAATAGGTTGTCAATGGTAACGACAGACAGTGATTTGAATGTAGACAGTAATAGGTTATCAGCCGCGTATACAACGGACAGTGAAGCTAATGATGGTGATTTTAGTCGCGGGTCTGTCATTGATGATATGTCCGACATATCGGGTCTTTGTGAAATCGAGGACAGTGAGGTCAATAATAGCGACAGCGAGGATGAAAACACGCCGTTAAATACACAACGAATACACACGGAGGTGTAAACTTGTTTGAACATATTCACAGCTGGGCTATGTAATAGTTTAAGATAAAGATTTTCGTGCAAGATTTAAATCTATGACCATTGTTAAGGGAACATTATACATTTTTCAAGTGTGGATTTTTACCTACCAATAAGTTAGTTGCTAGATGAAGGTATTTTAAAGGTTTTTTTCGATGTTTTCCTTGCTTTATGTGACATAAAATACAAAAAAGGTTGTGATTTGTTTTTTCGTCAATTTCATTGCTATTTATGATTTTTATAATGTGCTTATATACTGTTAAAACTAGAAATGTGAAAATTGTACACTGGATTAAAGAAGTGCTTAATGTTAGCCATTGCTGTGTATTTCAACTTCATATAGTCAAGTAGCCTTTGTCTAAGTCAGAAAAAAACACATGTACACTGTCATAATGTGTGCATGAAATATGTATACATGTATGTTCTCTGTCATTTAGAACTGTCTCACATAGAGAAATATGTTTTGGGTTGTTTTTTTGTTTTTTTTAAGAAAAATGAAAATATTTTTTTTTTATTGAGCGACATAAGAAATACTGGTACTATTTTTGCAAAGAAAAAGTCATAATTATCAAAATATCATGCAGATTTATTTTTATTTTTTTTTTTAATTACTGGCATGAAACCTCTATCAAGGTAATTCAGTACCATAAGTGTCAGGACAAATTTTTCAAACACGAACAACAATTTTTGTGAAAAAAATGTTATTTTTTTTATGAAAAATGTACTTTTTGTGTTTTTAAGTATAAAGTACTGTTCAATTTTCTGCACTTGTTAGGTTTATTTCCATTTTTGTATGATAGTGTTTCAGTAAATTTTATAGGTGCTATTTAAATTGTTCATGGTTAATATGTGATAAAAATTTGCTTCTGGCATATGACTTACCCCACCCACCTACTGCTCCTCACCTCCCACATGCAAATTTTTTTTTATTGAAAAGCGCTTCCTTGTGTTTGTTTTTTCATTATTTTTTTTCAAACTTTTTCATTGTTTTTTTGGAAAATTTGCAACAATTTGTTTCTGACATGAAGTTTTCAGACTTAAACGTCATGTTAAAATCTAGATTCTTCCATTTTAAATTCTTTTTCTTCGTGAACCTTCTTTTTTCGCTTTTGACAAAAAGAACACTTCAGACATTACAATATTAGTTTATTTTTCCGTTACATGTTTCATTTCTAATCGATTTTGAATAAATTTTTTGTTTCCATAACACTAATATTAAGTTTCAAAAAGCTAGTTTCTGTAATTCTGTAAAATCATTGAATGTTACAGTGTTACAGAAATTTAAATGATAAGGGGAGAGTTTAATGTTATTTATTTGTTTATAAAATCAGTATTCAATGTTTAAATTTTGAAGTTTTATTGATTTTCCGAATCAGAAATTAAGTTTTAATCCTAGCAGCCAAAATGAAATGAACCTGTTAAGTTTTCACTGTTATTTGAATGACATTTTTTGACATGATGTTTAAATATTAAAAAAATCTGTTAAGATCTCTTTTATAACCGTCTTGACCTCAGACACCTAAGTGTCTTAACATGTAAAATAAAGTGCTTCCTGAAAGATAGTGGGAAACCCCACATCTGACTATTCTACGGGGACCGCAATTGATTGACAGAACCTGAAAAGTGCTTCTTGACCAAATACTTTGAGACTGCAATCAATTCTTGACAAATTTCATTTGAAACAAACTCCTTTTTTGATAACACGATTTCAATTTTTTTTAAAGTCAATAATATGAAATTTGGGTTTTACTTACCTGAACAAAGCTATAGTCATAGCTTCAAACAAGAATCACTTAAGTGCTGTACAATTATAGATAGTGTATTTATTACCAATATACATAATGTACTAGGATGCTAATTTTACGATTTATACTTCATGTAATTTCAAGATTCAATTTACAAGTAAAGGTTGTGATATACTATGTTTCTACTTAGAAAATCAAAAGTTTTTCAACTATATAGTTTTGCAGTAATTTATACTGCAAAACATTCTTTATATACCATTTTTCCCCCAATAAAGATACCTGCATTTTATTGTGGTTTTTTGTAGGAAAGGCTGGATCCACATATACTAGGAAAGGCTGGATCAAAAGTTCAGTTTTGTTCAATTTTGTGATATATAAAGTTAGATTAAACTTATTTTTCATCAATGTCGTACTGTTGTTTTCAAGTTGCCATGTTTTTATGTTAATCTTTTTTGATGTATTAATAATATCAATGTTTGTTTCTCGAGTAAAGGCTAAACCAAATAGAAAATTGGTTTCTCAAGCTTAGAATATGTGTGTGTATTCTATGCTTAACAGACTCCCGGGCTTAGAACTTAATTCTATTTCTTGTTATAGAAAGACTGTATTTCATGAGAAACCAATAATAAATTTAGTATGGCCTTAAAAAGTATAACTTTTTGTTCTTGTTGAAAATTAACTAAGGCAAGGTTGTGCCATTTGTGTTGTGATCTAGACTGAAAGCAAAAATTTGTCACCTCAGTGCAGTAACGGGTTAAGTCCTTCTAAATTTAATAGGAGTTAACTATATATTGCACTAAAGTGATAAAAATATTGTGCTTTCAATAATGAAATCAAATAAGTTGTGTTTTTTGTGCTCACATGTATTTTCTTTGTTGTGATATTTTTTGTTTGTTTTTTTATCGAGGTCACATGACCTATTTTAATTCAGAGTTTGAACTGTGATCTAAGAAATTGGGTCAGTATATATTTTACCAAAAAAAATAAATGTAGTAAAAAATGGTAATCAAATTATTTTCAGATTTTTAAGTATTAACAAATTTTTAAGTTCTGATTTTAGAAAAAAATTGTAAAAAATACTTTATAAATAAGGATTATTTTGTTGTTCCTAAGAAAGTTGTATTTCTAAAAAAGCTTATGTTCCATTTTCACTGCTTTTAAATACATAACATGATAGGGCTTTTTTATCAGTGCATGAATTAAACAGCTAAGTTTGTCATATTTATAAAATATGCTGCTGTTTAAAGTTGTCCAACATGGTGTGTGAAGTGATGTGCAAGAATTTCATAAATGACATAAATATTGCCATTTTTTTAACACTTATCTGAGTTGAAATAGTATAGATCAGTCCTAATACAAGGGATTTTGATATTATATATATATTTAAATTGAAAACTAATAGTCTATTAGAGCCTAGATTAGGGTTTATAGATGTGGCGACTGACATAGCTGGATACTGGTCGCAGAAGTTGGTTACTTTTAATGATACACTTGAACTGTTTTATATTTTCTCTGGTTGTTCAATGTATAATTGAAAACAAGAACAAAGTTATCAGCTTTCATTGGTCGATTTTTTGAGCACAGTCTTGTTATTGGCCAATGAAAAGATTCAATTGTATGCCAACATGCAAACATTTTTTTCTTTTTGAACTTGATTAATTCATCCGAAGAATTTTGAAATTGATTATAAAGTTTTTTTGAATTTGTTTTTTTCTTGGTCACTTCACATACCTTGTTGTGACATATGCTTTAATTTTTTAAAATGCATACATACTTTGTAATGATTATTTTTGTATGAATAAATCTTGTGTTCAGCTGCATTTTTACCATTATTGTAATATAATCATCATTATCAGATACCATTGTTCTATATATAGAGAGATCTGATGTCTAAGATTTGATTCTAACTAATATAAATATTCTTGTGTCACATTGTTTTGCATCAAATGTTGTTTAGTTAAATTGATGATAAAATATTGAGAATTTTGTAAATTAAAAAACATAAATTATGACTTATTTTGTTTGTTATTTGATATTATTATGAGAATAATAACAAAATGATTGGAGATGTTGTCACAAGGTCAAGTTTTTAATCACATAACACCAATTGTATGCCCTTAAGGGTTTCAATAGGAGTCTGTCTGTGAGGGTTTAATTAAAACCCTTGGAGAAATACAGGAGAAGTTGCTAACATTAGAGTATTTCTCTTAAAGGAGCTCCACTGAGGTCAGAAAGCCTATAAGTATAAAAATGTAAATTCAATATAAGCTCTGTAGCATTGCTACGCTTTTCATTTTATGGTCAATTTAGACAATTGGAATAATCATTCTGAGAAAATCGAGTAAGGAAAAAATTTTGCTCCCAAGTTGCTTATCCAGACCTACATTTAGTGACTCCAGTCCAATTATGTTTAAAAAAAATCAGTAGAGTCCCTTTTATATGTACATATTACATGGTATGTAAGTAAACACCAAAGGGCCTTAACTCTAACAAGAGCTGTCGGTAGGACAGCAACGCTCGTCTATTCTAAGTGCTTGATAGTAAAAAAAAGTGCTTGATACAGTTACCTCCTCCTGTTTACAGGTTGGGGTAATGATGGTGAACAAGTGTGCAAAGTTTCAAAGCCATATGTCAATGAACTTTGAAAATATTTGAGGTATTACAAAAACTTTAACATAAATTCTAAGTCGAAAAAGGGGCATAATTCTGTCAAAATGCTTGATAGAGTTACCTCCTCCTGTCTACAAGTTGGGGTCATGATGGTGAACAAGTGTGCAAAGTTTCAAAGCCATATGTCAATGGACTTGGAAAATATTTTAGGTATTACAAAAACTTTAACATAAATTCTAAGTGGAAAAAGGGGCATAATTCTGTCAAAATGCTTGATAGAGTTACCTCCTCCTGTCTACAAGTTGGGGTCATGATGGTGAACAAGTGTGCAAAGTTTCAAAGCCATATGTCATTGGACTTGGAAAATATTTAAGGTATTACAAAAACTTTAACACAAGTGGTTATGCCGACACCGACGCAGACGCTCGTGTGACTGCAATAGCTCTACTTATTCTTATCGAATAGTCGAGCTAAAAATTACCCTGAATCTGATAATATTAGCCAGTGCACTTAATGACAAGTTCTGTGAAATTGAAATCTCTTGGTTGGAGTAATTACACATAGAAGAATGTAAACTATATGTATGAAATATTAGATACATGTATGTGGTAAAAAGGGGCATAATTCTGAAATGAGCCCAAGAATATGACCAAGGGCACTTAGTGAAATAGTTGTGTGAAGGCATAGTTCAAAACATTAGAGAAATGCAGGATACATCACAGAATTATATTTAGCATAATTCAACAAAAAATGATAGAACCACAAAATCCTGAAAACTATGATCTTGAGGAGAAGTTGCACATGGAAGAGTAGACTTGTATGACTATAATTCATGTTGGAAATAATAAAGGGACATTGCTACAAGTTCATACATTGTTGTGATCTGTCTGTGTTGTACACGAGAAGTAGTTTCACTTTGACCAAGAGTCATTAAGAGGAACAAGAATCATACAGATACAGTATAGACCATGTTGACCATGTTTAAAGAGTAAATCTTATCATCTGCTTCAGAATTGATCAAAAATAGGTTCCATATATTGGACAATAGAGCATTCACCCTATCTCACAAAATATAACAGATTTACTTTTAAAATGATAAAAGAACAAATTACAATTTTATCATTTTATTATATTTAAATACAAAAAAAAAAACATATATCGGAAAATTAACTTTCATATTGCAAAATACATGTATTCTAAACATATGTTATCATACTTTTTTGGAGAGCATATAAATTTTATCTTGCTCATAATTTTACAGTCATTGTTCATGTAACTAACAAACTGAAATCATGCATTATATCATAGTAATAGAATCAAGTATCCTCAAAGTTGACAATGTTTAAATCACTTGAACAGTAATAACGTAGGAAAGCCAGACATTAAATATACTGTTTATTTTTATGCTTCTTTTGATTCAACAGTTAAAAGAAATTCTACATTATAATAAAGCAAGCAAACATTTTCTCTTTACACTACTGGAACCATTGGTCTGTTGGCTGAAGTGTTTCATGGATTTGAGACATTTTCTGATCACAACCAGGTTTTCTCATATGGCTTCTACATGTCTTAATTCCAGGAAGCGGACTCAAAAAGTGGATAATATTAGTTGCAAGGACTTCAGTATTCAGACTTCAAGATTCAGAATGGGCGTTTGGCAAACTTTTCAGTAAATTAATGATGATTATATACAGACAACTGGGCCTTTATAAGTCAGATGGAATGAAATGGTTTCCCGATTGAAGGGTTAAATTATGTGGAAAATGTTTCATGACGATCAGTCAATTGTACCGATCTGTATTAGACAGGGACCAGTCTAGGTCATTTACCTACTGAATTTATGTAATGGATTTGCTGAGATTATGGAATGTCTTCCATTCAAAGTTTAAGGATTTCAACAAGACAAAAAACTAGAATATTCTACAAACAAAACAAACAAAACCTTCTCTGTTAAAATTGGTAAAATCGACTTCTACAGTGTTTGCTTTTTTACCCTTTGAATGATAATCAATAAAATGTCAGTCATCAATATAAGACTATTATGATAATTCAGGTAAAGGTATAATCTACAATGTTTGCTTTTTTCACTTTGAATGATGAAATGTCAGTCATCAATATAAGACTATATGATAGTTTAGATAAAGGTATAAGTTAAATTTCTTTAATTTATATACAGCATAATTCCAGAGAAATTTATCTCTGAATCTCATAAATCAGCACCAGTCTTGCTATGTGACATCATCAGGGCGTTCATGTCGAGCGTGATCAGTGGCAACACTATCAGAAGTTTCACTGTTATATCTATAAATAACTTTACGTCCTCCTTCGTCTCTTTCCATCACAACAACTTTTCCCGCCTCATTGTTTCCGCCTAATCTCAACGAAAATTTACGTGCCACAGAAAAATAAAAACACAACAGCACCACTGATATTATTCCGATAGCTGCCAATAATGTCACTGTCAGTAAAGCTAAGAAGTATCTCGTGCCCATTTCATCCAAGCAATTGTTTATTTCAAGATTTCCAATTTCATTTGTTGCCTCGTAACATTCATCTAGTTCTCCATGACTGAGTATGTACATTGCGACACCAGCTACAATCAGTATAATCACAGTAAAACTAACTGTTGCTAGGAACTGCAATGAAACAAGAAAAGTATTAATCTCAGCTTGCAACATCTTCAATATTAGGCAAACCAAACTGCACAAAAAACACATTTTTAACTAATTTTAAAAATATAAACAAACCATTATATTGAGCTTTAGGGAATTCATTAAGTGAAAGTCATTTGGCTCTGAAATTTGGCTAACCTCGGGTGTGACTAACTTTAAGCAACACTAGGGATCAAACCACCTTACCTGCTAGAGTTAAACAGATGCATATACTTCATTAATTCCAACACATTTAGTTGCCCCTAAAGATCATGCAGGGTTAAACGGTGGCTGAAATTCTGATGCCTCAACCCATAAAGGCAACCTCTTAGCCACAATGGGATTGGTTTAATTCGCTGAGTTTTAAATCTTATATCACAGAACACTGATTAGGTCATAGGGCAGCTTCCATCCAGTTCTGTGTAAAACCAGTTCCATGTAGACCTAGTTCAATGTAAAACCAGTTCTGTGTAGAACCAGTTCCATGTAGACCTAGTTCTATGTAAAACCAGTTCTGTGTAGAACCAGTTCTATGTAAAACCAGTTCTGTGTAGAACCAGTTCCATGTAGAACCAGTTCTATGTAAAACCAGTTCTGTGTAGAACCAGTTCCATGTAGAACCAGTTCTATGTAAAACCAGTTCTGTGTAGAACCAGTTCCATGTAGACCTAGTTCCATGTAAAACCAGTTCTGTGTAAAACCAATTCCATGTTACAGTTATATTGATTGATTGATATATCGGAGTTACTACTTCAAGTTAACTAATAGTACAAGTACCCATACATATTCTCTCATGGTATTGAAATCTTCACTTATTAGGGGACATAGTGTGTAAGTGACCAAATAGCTCAGTTGATGGAGTCCCAGTACAGTATATTTTGAGGGTATTATGTTCATTTTTCACACCCTGTACATTCCATATATTCCTTATGGTAACCATTAAAAAATAGACTTTCCATATTTTATAACTATGATTCTCAAATGATAACCTGGTACATTTAATACAATATGTAGGATCATAGAGCTATTGTCTCTCTATATTGTATATAAATATAATTATGTATATAAAGGAATCTACTCACACAATATAAAAATATTTTTGAAACTCCCTCACTTTGAATTGACGTTTTCTTGCCTTCAAATCTTAAATACCAAATGAGACAGGTAACAAATATAACCTAAAATAATGAAAGTAATATTGATTAAATATTTACTGGTATGTCTTCATAAAAATTCAGGTTATATTTTAATCAGCTAAATACATAGATCTCTAGGCGTGTCTTGTTTAACTGAACAATAATTTATAAATTCAGAATAGTAAGTGCTTTACTAGGATATAAGCAGGAGTAATTAAGAGCTCCTCAACCTAAGTAACAAACCGAAAATGACGAAGTTGATGGTCTTTAAAAACAACATTTTTCCATTCACTTACCATGACACAAACAACTAGAGAAGGTTCGTAGTTCGAGGCAGTCATGTTGATGGCCACTGATGACGTAATTATACAAATCAATGCCACAATAATGTTGCTGATACTGATTAATGATATGTAACGTAAAACACGCTCACGTGCCCTCCGTGGTCGCTGATCTGAAATGTATGAATTTTCAATAAATTTGTAATATACAGTAAAATCTCTGCAGAGAAACATCCCTTGATCGACAAAAATTTTGATTGTTGCCATAGTGCTGCTTTAATAGAGTTAAATTTATTGTGAAGTTTTACTTTGGAAAGATATGAAACAATTGTTGTAAAGAAGTTGTTGCTCCAAAGAGGGGTGTTCTGCAGAAGTTGTACTATAATTTATGTAAGAATTTATATTCAACTGAAAATTTATAGATCAGTTTTCCAGTTCAATAATTGGTAATTAGCTGATTTTAAACATTTAATACAATAGAATAGATCCTGATTTTCAATAAAAATTTCTGCAAAACAAATTCATTTAATGATATATTTTAAAAGGATTAATCAAACACAGAGAAGATAATTTGTTATGAAATTACCAATGTCAATTGTATACTGATAGAAATTCATTAATCAGGTTTTGAAGTAAATTTTTTTCATTGTATAAGGAAACTAGTACTGTAGTTGTATAAGGAAACTAGTACTGTAGTTGTATAAGGAAACTAGTACTGTAGTTGTATAAGGAAACTAGTACTGTAGTTGTATAAGGAAACTAGTACTGTAGTTGTATAAGGAAACTAGTACTGTAGTTGTATAAGGAAACTAGTACTGTAGTTGTATAAGGAAACTAGCACTGTAGTTGTATAAGGAAACTAGTACTGTCGTTGTATAAGGAAACTAGTACTGTAGTTGTATAAGGAAACTAGTACTGTAGTTGTATAAGAAACTAGTACTTTAGTTGTATAAGAATACTAGCACTGTAGTTGTATAAGGAAACTAGTACTTTAGTTGTATAAGGAAACTAGTACTTTAGTTGTATAAGGAAACTAGTACTGTAGTTGTATAAGGAAACTAGTACTGTAGTTGTATAAGGAAACTAGTACTGTAGTTGTATAAGGAAACTAGTACTGTAGTTGTATAAGGAAACTAGTACTGTAGTTGTATAAGGAAACTAGTACTGTAGTTGTATAAGGAAACTAGTACTGTAGTTGTATAAGAAAACTAGTACTGTAGTTGTATAAGGAAACTAGTACTGTAGTTGTATAAGGAAACTAGTACTGTAGTTGTATAAGGAAACTAGTACTGTAGTTGTATAAGGAAACAAGTACTGTAGTCATACAAGGAAATAAGTACTGTAGCCATACAAGGAAACAAGTACTGTAGTCATACAAGGAAATAAGTACTGTAGTTGTATAAGGAAACTAGTACTGTAGTTGTATAAGGAAACTAGTACTGTAGTTGTATAAGGAAACTAGTACTTTAGTTGTATAAGGAAACTAGTACTGTAGTTGTATAAGGAAACTAGTACTGTAGTTGTATAAGGAAACTAGTACTGTAGTCATACAAGGAAACTAGTACTGTAGTTGTATAAGAAACTAGTACTTTAGTTGTATAAGGAAACTAGTACTGTAGTTGTATAAGGAAACTAGTACTTTAGTTGTATAAGGAAACTAGTACTGTAGTTGTATAAGGAAACTAGTACTGTAGTTGTATAAGGAAACTAGTACTGTAGTTGTATAAGGAAACTAGTACTGTAGTTGTATAAGGAAACTAGTACTGTAGTTGTATAAGGAAACTAGTACTGTAGTTGTATAAGAAAACTAGTACTGTAGTTGTATAAGGAAACTAGTACTGTAGTTGTATAAGGAAACTAGTACTGTAGTTGTACAAGGAAACTAGTACTGTAGTTGTATAAGGAAACTAGTACTTTAGTTGTATAAGGAAACTAGTACTGTAGTTGTATAAGGAAACTAGTACTGTAGTTGTATAAGGAAACTAGTACTGTAGTTGTATAAGGAAACTAGTACTGTAGTTGTATAAGGAAACTAGTACTGTAGTTGTATAAGAAAACTAGTACTGTAGTTGTATAAGGAAACTAGTACTGTAGTTGTATAAGGAAACTAGTACTGTAGTTGTACAAGGAAACTAGTACTGTAGTTGTATAAGGAAACTAGTACTTTAGTTGTATAAGGAAACTAGTACTGTAGTTGTATAAGGAAACTAGTACTGTAGTTGTATAAGGAAACTAGTACTGTAGTCATACAAGGAAACTAGTACTGTAGTTGTATCAGGAAACTAGTACTGTAGTTGTATAAGGAAACTAGTACTGTAGTTGTATAAGGAAACTAGTACTGTAGTTGTATAAGGAAACTAGTACTGTAGTTGTACAAGGAAACCAGTACTGTAGTCATACAAGAATGAGTACTGTAGTCATACAAGGAAACATGAACTGTAGTCATACAAGAAACATGTTCTGTAGTCATACAAGGAAACAAATACTGTAGTCGTACAAGGAAACAAGTACTGTTGTCACACAAGGAACCCAGTACTGTTGTCATAAATGGAAACCAGTACTAGCTGTAGTTATTATTTACAAGGAAAAAATACTCTAGTCAGACAAAGAAAACAGTACTATAGTCAAACATGGGAAACAGTATTCTAGTCATACAAGGAAGTCAGCACTGTAGTCATACAAGGAAAACAGTATTCTTGTCAAACATTGAAAACAGTACACTGTAGTCATACAAGGCAACATGGTTATTTAAACATACCTTTTAGTTCTGGGTGCAGCTCTACAGTTTCTGGGTTGTATGTTACCATGGGATACATCACAACATCTGACTCATCAATGCCCACTGGCTCTTCTTGCATTTTCATATACTGATCCATGATGTAGGCCAACTATTTCACTCTTGAAATGTGAACTGTACAGTATAGGACTATAGGAAATACAAACATGTATATATATATAGACAGGTGATAATTTTTCCAGGATGAACAGCTTTTTTTCACAGCAAGTTAAGGATTGTTTTTGAAATGAACATTGACGATTTATTTTAGCATAATTATATAGAATGTAAATATGTTGTGTTGAAATGTTGTTTCAATACAATTGGCCTGGTTAAATATTCCAGCATATCTGCCTATCAATGCTTTAAATAAATTAAAACGTAACATACAATAGAAATTGGTTTCCTGCAATATAGGTTCTATGCTATATATAGAGTAACGTTAACTATATATATATGTCATGTGAATAAAATAAATAATCCCTGACATGTTAGTGTTATTTGATTATATACACATCATTTACAACGGAAATTAAAATTGCTATATAAACATCAGAATAAACGATAGAGATTATAAAAAATATTGCATTTTAATATCAAATATCTTAAATTAAATATCTATTATTTTGCGTCAATAGATTATTCAATGTCATAACCACTTACCTTGATCAAACCATGTTCAAACCATTCTACACTGAATTTGATCATCTTATACATGTATCTATATTTAGAGCCAGTACATGCCAGATTAAACCTTCTATAAAAACTACACTTCAGCAAAAAAAAAACACAGATATCGAAACTTCGTAAAATCTCAAATGTTAAATTTACATACATGTAAATTATATTAAGTACACACATTAATTGGAGAGGTGTGTGCGAGTGTATAAAGGAAAATATTATTTACAAACAGCTAGGTCAAGGTTTTTCACAGTCAGTAAACTCTATATAAACACAAGCAATGTACACTGTCGTATTCTGTTAAAAGCAACCCTGCATACACTGTCTATTTTTCCTGTGGAAACAGTATTATTATTACTGTCATTCATTTACTTTCATGAAGTACATCTGTCATTTCCCCTCCAAATTTTAAACTCTTCGATTTGCAAAATGGTGATAAAGGAAATGTAAGATTTAATATTATAGTAAAAAAATCGTGCCTAACCTTAATTATGCAACAAGGATTCTGCAGTAATCCAATAATTCCTTGTGAGGGGAAAATGACAAAATATATTAAATGTGTATTTAAAATCAAACTGCCGAAGAAGGTTACATGAAAGCTGTTAAATAAAGAAACACATCATGACCTTTTAAAGTTGTATCCGTTCCTTTTCTAAACAGATTCCAAGTTCAATGCAACTTGTTTAGAAGACAAGATTATAATATGACAGTAAAGATCAACAAGTAAAAGACATATCCAAGAAATGCCTTCCCAACACTTTGGTTTAGGTTGGGACGTACTAGTGATTACAGACACATTAATCAAGTAGACAAAGACAATTCCCAGTAATTATTGAAATAATTACACTGTATGAATAATGTCCATTTTTTTCTTTTCTAAGCTACCGCATTCTCACCAGGGATATGAAAACTATGAAATTATAGGTTCAAGGAAACTGGTAAACTTGTTAACAATTAAAATAATCAAATCACACCTTTCACCCAAAAAGAAATTTTCTACAAAGGACTTTATTAAAATGTTACGCAAGATCCAATGTTATAAAGAAATGCTCTAAGCTCAAACCCAGATCTTAGGTATTTGATTTGTCAGAAACTGTCACAGAATAAACACTGACCAATGAAAATCCTGAGATTTGAGACGGTACTCAGAAAAAGTTTTATAACCATGAGGCCTGTCCTCAAGTTCAAACATAGCAAACTAATGAAAAACCAGTTTAATGCCGAAAACCTTAGCCTTAGACAGCAAAACACAGTACAACAGCAATTCTTCCTCACCTTCCGAATATTTGTAATTCTATATCTTTACAGACCTCTTTAGTAGCTAAAGATATAATTGTTTGTTGGGTTCAAGTCAATGTTAATGTGACGGCTGTCTGTCTTAACTTGTGGGGAAGCTTTGTTGACAAAAGTACGATTTTCAATTTTTTTGAGTAGTATATATATTTTATAATAATTTTCTTTCAGTTTAAGTGCCACAACTGATCCCTGTAATAAATTAATATTTTATGTTTTAGGCCATTCTCAATGGAGTTTCACTTATTGAAAATTATATCAACTGCATTTGAGCCGCGTCCCGACAAAACCAACATAGTGCGTTTGCGACCAGCATGGGTCCAGACCAGCCTGCGCATCCGCGCAGTCTGATCAGGATCCATGTTGTTCGCTGTCAGTTTCTCCACTTGTAATAGAGTTGGTAAGCGAACAGCATGGATCCTGATCAGACTGTGCGGATTCGCAGGCTGGTCTGGATCCATGATGGCCGCAAACCCACTATGTTGGTTTTGTCGTGACGCGGCTCATTTATTTTCAATGGGATGACTTATCAGGCCAATCAGTAAAACGAATTCAAATTCAGTAATTTCAAGGTATGTTGCATTTACTTTTACATTCTGTCAACATGGCTTTCCATTTGTTTTTCTTTATTATATAACCTTAAAGAAAGATAACTTCAAGATAATACATAGGTCAGTTTATAGTAGATTGTCTCCCTTATAACATCAGAGAAGTTGACGAAATCATAAGTAGTGTTACACATAATAAATGAATGGTTGAATTTCTGTCTATAAAGTCTGGACCGTGGAATGTTTGTAAAATGATTACATCAGATAAAGTTTCAAGAAAGTTTATTACCTGATTATTATAGATCACAAAAAAATGTGAAACAAGTATTTAGAAAACCGGTGGAACATATGAGATATGAGATTTAACATATGTATGTGAAGCACAAGCGTAACATATTAAACGGCGATCTTTACTACTCCGAATTATTTACTTAATATCAATTAGTTTTGAAAAAATAGAGTGAACACTTCTACTTGTCCTCGGAAGTTTCTCATTTGACCTGCAAGAAAAATGTTTCAAAAAAGGACCAACACACAAAACAACAACAATAATAATGAAAACAAAACAACAAAAAAGGACCAACACACAAAACAACAACAATAATAATAAAAAAACAACATTTGAAGTTGGGGATTCACGCGAATAACCAACTGAAACCCTGGTCGTTTTATGGTAAAGAGGATGTTACCATGTTGTAGAAACATCTTGTTATATATCCGTAACATTTTTTTCAAGAATAATTACTTAATATTTTTAGAGGAATATATATGCAGACAGAGGGGAACAGGGCGTTGCGATGTTGAAGATCTTGCTTTATTATCTGTTACCTTATTCCGGAAAAATTATTTCTGTTTTGAGAGGAATACATGCAAAGTACGAATACCAACTACCTTTTGGTTGGTAGTTCGGTATTTTGCGCGAATAACCACCTGACTCCCCTGGTCTATGTAGGGAGATGGGGTGATACCATTTGGTAGGATTAATCTATCATGCCATATATCTGATACTTTTATTCTTGAAAATTACTTTGTGTTTTGAAAGGAAAACATGTCATGTTCGATTAAATATATACCGTCTGGTTGGAAGTTGGGGATTGCGTAAATAACCTACTAGGTCTCCTCCTTTATTCTATGTTTATGTGTGATGTGTTCGAACATTTCATGCTTGCGATAGTGGATTGAATTACCAGCTACCAGCTGTTAAACAGTTGGGAATTACGAATAACCAACCAGCTAGTATGTAGTTGGTTATTCGAATATCCAACTACCAAAATGACGCTCATCTTTTATACTGTTAGAACCGAAATGAACCGAAATGAATGTAGATACTTGTTAGACTCATCCGTTCTTATGGCTTGCTAACTTTTGAAATTTCTATCTTATTAAGTTAACATTCCCAGACAGTTTTAAAAAATGGAAGCTTTAGAAATGCATTTAACAAATTCAGCAGGTTAAGATTGTCTTATCAGTGTCAGAATTGTCGGCTCCTCAAATGTTTTTTTTTTCTTGCAGCACATAACCCTTTCTATCATTACAAGTAACGTTAGAATAAGTCGAATATGGAAATTTAAAGCGTTCTTTTGCAAAAGTGCCCCCAGGTAAATATTTGCAAACAAAGTGTGAAAATATATCTTCCGTATTTAATGCATATAAAACGTTTTTGAAACGTTCATGTCTGGCAAAAATGAAATAATTCTATGATATACAGAGAATGAAAAGTAGAAAACAACTGTAAACTTAAAATTTTCCTAGAAATTAAATATGATCTTTTTAAAATTTCATTGCAAACTTAAAAGGACGACAACTGATACCTCGCTTGGTTTGCATTACTATTGTTGTATATATACCAATTCAAAACATATCTATGAAAAATAGCCTACTTATTTATAACAATAAGGAAAAGGCAAATTTTTTAGTCTGCCCTTTAATAAAAGGGCGGACAGCACTTTGTCCCTTTCTCGTATGAGAAGGGGAATCCTGTGATGCGTGTATGTGGTCGCACGGTCACTTTCCTTAAGTCATGTCCTCGATGCATGTATGTGGTCGCATGGTCGAAAATGTCTATTACTTTCCAACTCCTGCTAATATTTCTATTTTTCTATCTTTTTTGCTTTTTTTTTTATCTTTTAAAACTCCTAATTTAGAGAAACAAGGTCCTGCTTTTATTTCTTTTTTTTCTTTCAAAATTCCTAATTTAGAGAAACAAGATCGTAATTAGTTTTTTTCCCTCCTAATTGTAATACCGTAGTTGTGACTAGAAGTTACAAAGTTAAAACAAGTGTTTTTTTTTTCAAATATATAATTTAGTACTCCTATTCAGGCTTTTAAAGTTTTGTTTAAATGTCAGCATGGTCTTACCTCATAAAACGAAAATAACAAATTCCTAATTAGGCATTTAATTAAACAGTCCTTTTTAAGCACCAGATCTTTCGGTACCAAAACGCTTTTATTAATTAATTAGAGGTTTTCGACTATGCGACCGTATACACGCACCGAGGACATGATGTATGGAAACTGATCACAGGATTCCCCTGTATTACGAGAAGGGTAGACTTTAAAATATGCGGTTTCCAGACCTCTCCACAGTGTTCAGACTGATTGCTGGCGGCATCCATTTTTGCAGTGAACGAATGTCATTTTTGCGCATGCTCCGTTTCAAAATACGACTTAATTAACATTGAAGTAAACAAATCGGTACATAGAAAAATCGGGAAATATCATTTACGATACTTAGCGCTACGCGGATGTTTCATTCCGTTTTAATCTTTTAAAATGTATAAATCGATTACGTATTGTTTTCTGAATAGCGTTTTACTATTTCATGATCCGATAAATAGTAACAGTGAACATTACGGTGCACTATTATATGACCGAGTGAACCGTGTACCGAAAGTTTGCTGCTCCTTAAACTTTTGAACCGGTATGACTAAATAACGCAACGGAGATATTTTGGCGCAAATGGCACACATTTAACTCAAGATTTTCCTCAAATATTGGGGTTGGAGGCATACAGCTTTATATACTGTTTATTTCAATCAATTGATATAAACATTTTTATATAAATCTGGGACTTAAAATTGTTTGATTACCAAACTTTATGCCCGTTTTGGAAAATGTTGAGGAAATATATCCATAAACTTACCAAAATATAAACCGAAAATGTGCTTATTGAATTTTATTAGAAACTTTTATTTTGATACTACTTTTAATATATGTATATATGTATATATTACACATGTGTATATCATTTATTTTAGATTCAGTTGATGACATAACATAAATTGTTCCCTTTTAGAAAAAGTATCCATTTCTCTAAA